CGAAACAAAAAAGAGAGAAAAAAAGAAGCGAAGAAGAAAAAGCACAATTCATCTTTCTCTCGTACGACAAGTCAATCCGGCGTTCGCTCGTGCTCTTCATTCGTTATCGCAGTAAAGCGCTTTTGTTCGACTATATCTTGTTCTGTTGGCGGCTTCTCGGGATGTGTGTTCCTTTGCCAAATCTCGGCAAAACCCGTTGCTGCTGGATGTTGTGCGTGTGTGTGTGTGTGTGAGTGTGTGTTTATGTGTGTGTGTGTGTGTGTGTGTGTGTGTGTCTTGACGCGTATTTATTGTCCTTTTATCAACGATGAATAATGACGCGCGTGTCGTCGTTGGGGGATAAAATACGACGAGAGCATTATTTACATTGTCATGAAATAGAAATAGAGCACGACCGCGACGGATTGGGCAATTCGAGCTTTCAAATAATTTACATTGTTTTAACGAGGTTAATCAGATAACACGTGATTTATGCGTGATTAACATTTGGCGCCGTACGTACTGCATCATTCATTAAAGTAACATTGCACTTTAATCATAAAGAAATCCGTGAGGTCGGTAAGGAGGGATCCTCTACGCGGAAGCGTAAAATCAATCGGTCCGCTCTTATCGTGGAAAACAAATCCTTTCGCATGAAAGTCGAGCAATTGCTTCGGGAGCGGGAGGAGGGGGTAGGCGCGCTCGTAAGATCCATCCCGGAAGACGTGGCGGCACTCTTCTACTCGTCGCTCACGCAATTAGCGAAATTAACGAAAGGGACCACGCTGACGAATAACTGCGACCCCCTTAAGCTCGTTGATGCAAATTCTCTCTGTCCACCGCCACTGAACTAATGATTGTTTCACTTGGCAAGTATTCGTGCGGAGAGAGCGAGTGAGCGAGAGCCCAATTAATGGCCGTGCGGCTTTCTTCGTGACCGTTTTCGAGTTTGTCGATTAATTTGAAGCTTTCGTGCAGTTTCGGTACGACGATGTGTGGTTGTTCCAGCGAGTTTTGCTCGTCGATGAGGAATCTCCTTGGGTTTTTTCATCGTTAATATAAATGGCCACTTCCTTCGAGAAAATGTACGAGGCAAAAGAACATTATTTCAAATGATACTTAGCGAAATGCACAGTAAAATTATTGAAGGGACCCTTCATCATCCTACTGAAAAATGAAGCAGCATAATTTGCATAAGCCCTGGAATATTAACCCATGAAATACACACATATATATATATATATATGTTTTCGGCGGTTCGCTCGCCCCTTGCGTTTTACCGCAGGCAACCTGTTCTTTGCCCGCTTGTATTTCTCTTTTTTTCTTCTCCTTCCCGTGCTCTTTGGGGTGCCATTTGCGTGCGCGTTTATCTTTTTTTCAGCCTCTATTTATTTCGTGCAATCTTTGCGTTAATGAATCGTGCGCGTGTGAGAGATAGAGGAAAATTTGGCTGAGAAAAATGTTGCAAAGCAAATCATTCTCGCGTATTGCAAGAGTGAAAAGATGGACGGGGCACGATTGAGGATACTTGGTGCGCGCGAAGCGAAGAAAACAAGCCGAGAACAAGAGAAGTATGACTAATTTGAGAGCGCGGCAGAATGCAAGGAGAGGATTTCTCGAAAGTCGCTCGTTTCGCGCGCGCGACCGCCGACAGATGCTAATTTTTCGCATTTTTATGCGCGCGGAAAGATAAGACGCGCGTATACACATACAATGGGGCAGTTGAGTTACGAGCGAGCAATTATGGCGAGAGATTTTCCTATACGCTACCGGTGAGACTGTTAGTTCCTTATTATTTATTGCCGAGTGGTCGACGGTCTGTCAGAGCTGCAACAATGAGTCGGACAAAAATGAAAACGAACATCAGCGCTTCACACGTTCTCCTTTGTGCCGTTGCATTACATTTTTCAACGCGCCGATTATCATCGTAGACGAGCATTTTCACAGTCTACAGGGTTTCATTATGATAACTTCCTTGCTAATTACATTATGCAATCTGCGTTCTCTTATCTCGCCTATGATAAGCTCGAGCATGCTTTAGTATTTTTTTATCTGCTCAAATTATACTTTCCAAGCTCAATTACGAGTTGCAAATACTTCTATTATTAATGGTAGCGCGATAATCAGTTCCGCCATTCGATAGAAATCGATGGATCGCTTATCGAGTCATCCATCCGCAGATAAATCGTGCGGATACAGGGCCCTACGCGCATCAATCGACTAATCATTCCAACGGATGACTATGCCATTGTCGTCGAAATTGCTTCGTTCAACCCAAGCCAAGCCTTCTCCTTCGTTTTTTCGGAACTTTTTATCGGACCATTAAACACGCGCTGGCGTCGTCGCGTAAACGACGTCGTTAACACGGATCATAATGGGCGTGTATCGAGCTGCGCACCTAATGATCCGGCCGCCCGCGCGGCCGCGCTGTCTGCTAAGTCTATGCATCGAGAGCAGCACCCCAATCTCGCCGACAACTTTATTCGAAGAGCCGGACGCTGCCGCACTGCCAGTAACTTTTTCAGCGAGGCGAGCCTTGCAGCACCGCGAAAACCGGCATTCGTGCGCGTCGGAAGAACAAAAGGGAACGCGGGCGCGTAAAAATGTCGCGCGGCCTCTCGGAAACTCAAAATAACTGTTTTCTCCGAAGGAAAAACGGAGCACACGAGTAATCCAGCAATAGCCAGTTCAGTTTGGACATGCTCGTAAACACTCGCCAGAACAAATAAAGGTCCGTGTGTGCGTGCATTCGTTGCACGTTCCGCTTCTCTCCTTTTTTCCGTCGTATCGATGTGAAAGCTCTAAAACCCTTTTCGTTTACTTTTATCTTTTTTAATTTATCGCGGGCTCGAGCTGCTGCTACTGCAACTCTTTGTCACTTTAACCTCCGAGGCAAATCTCCTTTCGTTTTACGCTCGCTGTTGTTGCTGCTTCTAATCCAGCGCCTCTCGCGTAAAGGATGTTAAAGCTACGCGGGGATTTCATTTCTATGGTGGGATGCGCCGCTGCGCCTCGTAAACAGGATTTCTATATTATTCGAATTCAAATTTGCAGCTGCTGCAATGGCCAGTTAAGTTAGAGAGGATAGGTAGTTTACTGCTGGCTACATTTGCAGTTGTAACGCTCGGATATTGCGCAAGCTTCGAACGATAAAAGCTGTGATTGAAGACGTTAAACCTTTCAGGATACGTTTGCCACTTCCATTCAATTAGTTTATTGAGATAAATGTCGTTGACTCGCGTGGATAGCGAGGCTGAAGTTACGTGTGCGGTAAAAGCGCTTCCCCGCCCACGCCGGAATCATACTCGAGCACAACAATTTTAACGTCGCATAGCCAGAAATGCAAATAACCGGGTGCGCGCGCGCGGTCAAAAGAATTCCCAAGCGCATATCTCCGCGGCCTAAGAGTGCTTCGGAAAAAAGAAGAAAAAAATGCTTTGACGTGTGCCGCGTCGCACGTCGAATGTTTGCTTTTGAGCGATTCCACCAGCTGAAGCGTTGGGATCCTTTTCTCTCTCTCTCTCTCTCTCTCTCTCTCTCTCTCTCTCTCTCTTTCTCTCTCTCTCTTTTTTGCTAACGCGAAACCAATACTTCGACAAGGCTTCGGCGGTATGTGGCGTTTGAAATTGCGCATTTTTCGGATAGGCGTCAGCGCTTTTTTTCTCCCCCCAGGCTCTAGAGGAAGAGCGCACTTTTGAAGATGGCGCGGCGGTAATACCTTCGTTACACGCTGCGCGCTCGTATTTGCTCTGCGTCGAGCTTTTTCGAAAACGCGCAGCTCGCTCGCGCGGCGTTTGTAATTGACGCGCCATGGTAAATGTTCGGTCGGTCGGAGCTCATCACGGCGAGGGAGCTCTAACTAACCAGCCCGTGCAAAATTACATTTGGGCGCAATTTATTACAGAGCTGACCGAACGCGACGATTATTTTATAAGCGTAAACATCGCGAGTTCGGCAGCGGCGCGGAGGCCGAAGCAAATTTTGAAAGGTATAGCTGGCCTACGCCCGGGAATGCCGATGCGCGCGGCGAACATAAAAAAAGCGAGGCGTGTTCAAACGTCAATTCGCATCGCGCGGAATTGTATTGCACTCGTGCAAATATTGCAATTTACAGAGAGAGCAAGAGAGAGTGGGGGGGGGGGGGGCGTTTTCGAAAATACGTACGTGTTGAGAGCGAGGGCGTACAAGCGAGAAATAAGCCCCTTTAAAATCGCTGCCTGATGAGGCGCGAAAAATTGCGCGTCAAGCTCGAAGAGTATCGCTCGCCGGTGTGTGCACAATATGTCGAAAATAAAAATCGCTTCTTCCCTCGCACGCCCAGGCTTATGGAGATTGATGCCGAGCCGAGGTCGCGGCAGCTTTGCCCCGACGAAAAGGGACGTGTCTCGTCGCAAAAACTTGCGATACGGTCCGAGAACGGACCTGTCGAATGCCGACTGACTTGCGCGAGAAACTCGCGCGACAGCTCGGCATACACGACTCTACACAGCCACTCGAAGTAGTACAACAATACGTACACTCGGACGCGGAGTCCTTGTCTCGGCCTCTCCCACAATGCTAGACCCGTTCCAATTACCATGAATTGCTCGAGGCCGCGAGCCACGGCAATGTCTCAGCGAGACATCTCTAGAAAGCTAAATGCTACTTTGTCCTTTGCTGTTTATCGCCGGCGGCGTCCGAGGCGCACGTGCCTTCGTCGCCGTACCTGCACCAGTCCGGGGAGTGGCCAGAGCTCGCGCGTATCGATTTCGCATAAAATTCGACGTGCACGCGCGCCCCGAGCACCAGTAGCGTCAATTGTTTCGGACTGCCGCTGCGCCCCGCGCCTCTCGGCCCAACTGATTCTTAACGCGTCAATGTCTCGCCGGCTACGTCCAATGATTATCATAAACGAGACATAGCGGCAAACGCGCATAGACGGCCAGTGCGCAGGCGTAGGCGGCCCTATGATCAGAATATAACAGAATTGGAGGGTAATTTGACATTCAATAATGGGTGTGGGATTTCAATTACTGTTACAGATGAGGTCGACGTGATTGGATACACGAGCAACCAGTCGGACACCGATGACCATAGCAGCGTGCAGAGTAGCAGTGACAGTGGCGTTGCGATGTCCACCTCCAGGCTCACCCTTTCCGAGATGATGGACAATCTATAGGTACAGTCGCACGCATTTCCACTCTCTTTTCTCATCTTTGCCTCGAGGCTACGCGTGTAAACGAAAATTCATAACGCTCGCACGTCTAATCGCGTCGCCGGTGCTGCTGCTGCTGCTGCTGCTGTCGCCGCCGCCGCCGCTGCTGATAGACAGCCTGGCAAGCATTACTGGCTGCGTTAATGCTGCGTAAATTAATTTTGCGCGCGGTCCGGAATTATCGCCCCGAGCACCCGACGATACTTTCAATGACCTGCCAACGGACTCGGACTTTCGCAGCGTGCTCTCGGCTTTTATTTTAGACGAGGCGCGCGACAGCACAATTTCTCATTGTTTCTCTGCGATAAACGCGCTTTTCGCCTTTAGCGCATGCACATAAAGCCACGATGATGGAAAGAAAACGAAGGAAAATAGCTTTCTTTTCAAAAATGCATCGCGAGCTCGCGCAGGTATCCATCCATCGTGGTAGAAGCTGCGCGCTGGGTTTTCGGTAGATGGTGTTTTATGCAGCTGCTGCAGGATCGCTCGTAAATTTGCCTCTCCGTACGGCACCGACGCGCACGATTGGCTGATTGAAAATCGTCTCGGGGCCTCTTTTCTTGTGCAATTTTCAGCGGAAATTTCACGCTTTTCTCTCTTCTTCTTCTTCTTCTTCTCCAGCTTTACTCTCGATAATTAATCACTCGCGAGTTTTTCTTCGCGAGACGCACAAGCGGATGGAGAAACGTACTCCTGTTTCGATCCGATAATTGGATAAGAGTTGCGTCAAGTAACCAAGACCATGAAGCGATATCGTGTGCCGTCGCAGAGAGAAAGTTGAGTATGGCATCAATACGTCAAAAAATAACGAAGTAAAAAGAAGAAAAAACACAGGCAAAAAGTATTACGCGGTCTGCCTTGACACATGGCTCTATGTTAAGCGTATAATATCTAAACGGAAAATGGATAACCTACGTTGCACACGTCGTCTCGTTTTGCTCTCTTGGTAAAAGCGGAAAAGACGGAGGAAATTCCGACGATCTGCTCAATAAATAATGCGCGCGCTCCGATATAGCCGTAGAGGAAGTAAACGGTAAAGGGGAGTAGGGCTTTGGACGCACACATACAACGCCCAATGGAAAAATGTACGAGAAGAACGTGCTGCGAACGATTCGGAGTCACCTTTCGACGAGCAGCAGCAGCAGCAGCAGCAGCAGCAAAACGAGCCCGATCTTACAATTTTAAATCTTTCAAAGCGATACCGACAAAATTTTTGTGATATTACTTTCTGAGCGAATTGATAAAACCTTTTCGTGCTCGGATCTGTTGTGTTTTATCTCCGGTCGTATTTTCTTATAAGATTTTACTTTTTTTCGACGCTACTTCTTCTATAACAGCAAATGGTAATGGAAGATGGATCGTTAGTGTGGATCGGAATAGCTATATCTACATCTGATCAATTTTGCAAGTTGATTTCACTTTAGCAATAAGTTTGACTGATACTGCCACTAGTTCATCAAATATTATTCGCTGATAAGAAAGTTCATATGACTTATTAAATGCTACAGATTGATTATTGAAATGTACGTTAACGAATGACATATTCTGCGAAATTATTTCCATTTTAGTTCTATATAAATATCAATTCATTAAGGTTTCACAGTCAACCATATAAATTGAGAACTGAGAACAAGTAATGAGATGTTTCTTGAATTTTTCCAGACGAGAAGACGGCGCGAGGGTGGCGGCAAGTGGGGTCAGGAAGATAGTAACAGCAGCAGCAGTAGCAGCAGCAGCAGCAGCAGTAGCAGTACGTCGAAGCAACGCGGAAGGCCACGAAAGAGGACGCGCATTGGCAACATTATCAGCAGCAAGTAGAAGACCTCCGAAACGACATTGAAAGAGAGCGCATCAGCGTCGTCCTGGACATTAAGAAGAGCAAGAAAGCCACCCTCGCGATCGAGATAGAGTCCTTTTTTTTAAGAGGCTGAGAGGTAAAGAGAGAACAGGAAGATCTCGCCTATTCTTCTTCTTCTTCTTCACACGTACACAAAAAAAGAAAAAAAAAGTTTCATGGACGAGAGTGAAAGAGTGCGAGAGTGAGAGCGTGAGCAAAGTAAGAAAGACTGATTGGGATTATAGCAAACAAAAAGCAAGCCACGCGGAGCATTATATATGTGAATTTGTACATATTTGAAAGAAATGTCGAGGGAGGGGCGAAATTTCGAAAAATGGTATATTAACGGTTTTTTGAGCTTGTGGCGATCCATCATCGAATCAAAGTCGTGCAATCTCCAATGGGAATAAATACAGTCGTGTTTAAAGAAAGGATGGCAGTTTGCATGCGCGAATGAAGTAGAATGTGAGAGCGAGAGTTTGTTTTTTGTGCACGAAGTGACTAAAAAAAAAAAGGAAAAAAGACAGAAAATAAGAAAAAGAAAAGACAGTTGATTTGTTATTGTACAAGCGAGGAATCGATACATGCCAGTTGTTTTCACGCACGCTCGAAGAAATAGAGAACTAACTTTTAAGAGTTGTACGTAAGGACATAGAAATTTAACCTCTCGAAAACACGATTGCCTGTGGACAAAAATATTCGTCGTTTCTTCTGTTTTTATTATTCCTTTCTTGTTTTTTCTGTCGAGGCATTCATTTAATCCCCGTTTTTTAAGTCCATTCTGTGAGAAATACTAATGAAACCTCATAGTTTAAGCGTTAGAAAGTATTGCAACGGTTATCTCCCTTTTTTCCAAAGTGAATTTTTAATGATTTTTGTTCTGTCAATCGTACTTTCGATTATTGTAACAATACACGTTTGTCAAGCCAAGGCTTCTTTTTCTTTTTCTAAGAAGAAAAGACGTTTTGGCTTTTCGATTTTACAGTGCATCTCAGCACGACAAATACACTAACAAACAAAAATCGCGCATTATTAATATTATTATTAATTAATTAAGGTAATAACGAAGAAGAAACACATCTCGTTGCATTCGAGATAAAAAGTACAAATTCTGTAAGACCCTTGTGTAAAACATATGCTTCATCACCTGTTTTAGCGACCGACCTGTAGTTCGGCCTTTAAAAAAAATGATGCTCCGGTGTATCAGATAAAAAACGTGAGTGTGAGTAACGGACGAATGCGGCTGAGTGGTCCAACAAAAAAAGTTGAGTGCTGACTGATAAAATTTTTTTTCTTTTTTTTTCTTTCGAAAAAGCCACTTTGAGCTGGATAAAAAGTCTTTCATTTTTTTTTTAATTTTAATTTTTAACTAACTTTATGCGTTTGAAATTCGAAATCGCGAAATATGTTATTGCTTTGGTAATTTATTTGTAAAAAAAATAATAACAAATTAATGCATTGTCGTTTTCTCTCGACAAAAAAGTGAGATAAATATTAGGCGTTTATTCTTTTTAACTGAGGTCTTGAAGTCACGAAGAAGTGTAATACAAAGTGAGAACGCGAGAGGAAGGAGGATAGAGAGAGAGAGAGAGAGAGAGAGAGAGTAAGAGAGAGACATTTTTTTTATGGAAAAGGTCACGGAGTCGAAGCTTGCGATGTAGATTTTTAAGATTAGATAGACTGACATAAAAAAATTTACAAAAAAAAAGTAACGAGTGATCTCTAAATAAAAAAAAATGTGTTGGTTGAAAGAAAGAGGATCGTAGTGCAAAGTCGCATATGTGACGCGAAATTCCAGAAATATCCGAAGAAAAAATAAACAATGTAAATTTTTTGTGGCCAACGTCGAGGCAGTTTCGATTCTGGAATTTTTTTCTTTTTTTTTATTTATTTTAACGTATTCACCCTCGACCGCTGAGTTTCATTACGTCGAACTGATTGAGTTGGTTGAGTTGGCAAAAAACAACAATAATAGAAAGGGGCGTGTTGTTGTATCAAGAATGCGCTTACACATTGTCTGAATGGAAGAACTTTATTCAAACAATCATATTGATTGTTTTTTTATTAACTAGCGGCGGTCGATGTACACGTGGTTGGAAAATACTCATGGCAAATATTTTATTTATTCTTCGTGTTTTTTTAACAACTTAAGAGTTTTATCACATCACAGATACTTATAAGTATTTTAAGGAGAGATATCGAGTTATTGAATTCGCACAAAACATTCCTCGTTTGAATATAGGGTTGAAGGTTAACGGCAAAACTCTGGCGCGAGAAAAGCGATTATGAGTAAACAGAATCGAGAATGCCTCGGATAAATCTTCCGTTTAATAAACTAACAGAGTTAATTATTCAATTGATATGCTAAGCCAAGAAAGCAGATTAAAATCAGTGAAACATTGATCACAAAGTTCAATGAAATTTACAGAGTGCAAACTTCAAAGCACTCGGGGGATTCAAAGTTTTTAATTAAATACCTTTTAGCTTTTATTTACTGTATATCATTTCTTTCGTTTTTAACTTTCTTAATCACGCTAGAGGCCAGCTGTGTAAATTTGACGTATACTTTTTGTACGTCATTCCAACAGTGCCACGTTTCTCTTTTTCATATTTTCTTTCCAGCCCGGCCAACATCCCTTACTTTTCTGCTGTTGTAAAATACAATTTTTAAATTGAAAATAAAATTTTCATAATTTGTTTTACATTAAACGCTTGTAAAAAATTTATTTAGAAATCTTAACGAATTATAGCAATGATGACAATGTTTTTCTGATATACAAAAAAGTTCGTATGTAAAAAAAAATGAAATCATGTAAGATGTTCCTTGTGTGCAACATTTTTATCTTCGTTCGGGTATGAAGTATTTCGGACTGATGTATATATAAAGTATATAGTATTTAGTAATTTATTGGCTGAAAGTGAAATTAGTTGCGGCGTGAAATTGTATTTATGTACATAAAATTATCTAAATTTACTTATATCTATATTTATTTAATGCTATGCGTTATAGATTTTGGACAACTGCAAGTATTATACAAACTTTTTTTGTTGCTCCTGGAAAACATGCTACAAATTTTATATGTCAATGAACTTATCTGCTTTGTTGGCTTTGGTAAACAAAAATTAAAGGGAGTCGTCTGTTAAATTTTAATACAAATATTTAAATTCAGAGAAAGTAGCGCCAATTTAGTTGACTGTCATTCGCTGTCAAAAAATTACATGTACTAATCAAAATGAATATATCGGTCTCCGTAAAATCGATATATTCCGAAATATTTACTCTTCTTTATGTTGATAAATGAAATTCATAAAATTATTTCTTAAATGCACGAAAAACAGTTGCAAACGGATAAAAAATTGGTTCACTGCTAAGAATAACGGGCGCAACAGCAATACCTTTAGATCGACGCAGTATTTTAAAGCAGATGTAACAAATCGTTCTCGCGAAAAAAAAAAAACGATTCTCAGAAGAAAAGACTTTTGTAACGATTTTCGCGACCGAGAGAAGAAAAAAAGCAAAGTTTAAAAACCACTAAGTAAATAAGCAATGATTTTCAAAGCCGCGCCACCGCTGAGGCACCGAGGACTCGGCCAAATAGACTAAGATGAAGCGCTTCGAGAAACAAAGTTCGATACTTGGGGGGAGACGATTTGGAGTGAAACTGAAACACTTCGAGGGGAGTCGTGCACATCCGACGACTTGTTTTTTATTTTTCTAACGCCACTATCGGTCCACTTTTTTACGAAGGCTCAAAATCCAGAAACATATAAAGTAGGTTTACATCGAATAGGGGGTAGGAATAGAGGTGATTACACATTAATGATGGAACAAAGAAAAGATGGTTTTTTCAAAATACGGGAATTTCAAAGTCCTCGAGTGCTCGGCGGTGTGCTACGTTTCCACGATCTTTGGATAGAAAATACAAATAACAATGCTTGGTCGATCGTTTTAGAGAAAAAAAGTGTTGCAGTCATGGAGAAACTAAAAAAACTAACCAAGTAACTAATGACAAAATGGGTGTTATTTTTCGATGTCTATTAGACTTATCAGAATCAGAAACTCAACCAAGCTTATACGTAACGACTTGAAAAGTGAAAAAATAACTGTAAGTTAAAACGATGATCACAAAAAAGAACGTTAAGGACGAGATTTTCGAAAGCTGATGCGTTATATAAAAGCGATTTTTAAGAAACAAAAAAATTTAGTCGTTCGGTGCAATGAAGAACCACAAACCGGAAGTTTAACACATAAATATTCACACGACACTGCAGTCTTTTTCTACTTGGCTTTTATCGACGCACGCAAACATTTAAAAAAAAACAAAGTTTCCGGTGCACCAAGACATAAAATGATCCTTAAATGTGTAAACGACAGGATGGGAAAGAGAGTATTCAAGTGAAGCAGACGAAAAAAAAAATAATAATATTACCAAAAAAAGTAAAAAAAATATATGATGATGTCCAAACAAACTGCGTGCGAAGCGATTAGCGCTCGTAATAAACAAAAAATAATAAGTATAAATAATAAAAAAACGTCTCGGGCCCCGAGTCGCCCCCTATCCGCCGTCTACGAACAATTTTTCCTCAAAACATTTTGCTGCTTTAATTGTTTAGATGAGTACTATAAAGAATACTAAAAAATACACAAAAAAATAATAATGAACTACAAATCGAGCGTAAAACGGGTATGCACGGTCGTGAATGTGTGTCTGCGTTTTGATCGTCGCCTCGACCGACATGTCTCTCCCTATAAATTATCTCTTGAGAACTGGAAAATAAACTAAAAGCGCAGGAGTTTCTCAAAATTGACTGATACGAATTATTATTATAGTTGTGTGTATAATTATAGTTTTTAAGACGTTGATGAAAGAATGAATTTAATAAAGTTAACGTGACATTTTATCTGTATTCTGTAAAGTAAATGTTTTAAACCTGTGTATTGTAAAGGACGTGGGATTTCGCTTTGCCGGATAATAATTGGTAGTCAGTACTTTCTGGAAAATTCGTTCGCAATCTAGTGTGTAATAACACATAACTTGGCAGATCCTACCGAATATGTTTATCATTATCAGTAAATGTTAAAAAATATTTGTTAGAATCTCGCCGATGAGGGCCAAAATTGTATACATTGTATGATTTGTATGACAACGTATTATCGAAAAAAATGATAAAAAGAAAGAAAAACGGTGTCGAGCGCATGTATCTCAAAAATTGGCTTTGTAAATATCCGTATAATGTATAAATACCCCATCGAGAGCCTTAATCAGGTGCTGAAATCCTAAAACCGAAACTCCTGCAGCTGAGTGAAAGAGAGAGAGAGAGAGAGAGAGAGAGAGAGAGAGAGAGAGAGAGAGAGAGAACGAGAGGGAGAGAGAGAAAGATAAAGATAAAAAAAGGATATAAGGCACGGCGACAGACTACTTCGGAGAAAAAGTGCGGTCCTTTTCTCGGTCGTAGTTGAGCCACCGGCAGTAGTGGGGCCGTGGCTTTGGTCAGCCGAGACGGAAACGGAGAGAGAGAAACAGAGAGAAAGAGAGCGAGAGAGAGAGAGAGAGAGACGCGGTCGAGAGGCGAAAGAGTGAGAGTTGTGAGTATGAGCAACCGCGAGAGGCTCCGGCACTAAGAGCATTTAATCAATGGTAGAGAATGCTTAGTGGATATTTAAAAAAAAATTAACAAACATTGCATAAAAAATGAATTAAAAAAAAACTATACTAGTTTCACGTTTGTAAACGGATAACGTTGTAACTACGATTTAATGAGAAAAAGAAAAATGAATATAATGTTATTATGTAATATTATTACGAACGAGTGGCTGGTCATGAGTGAGTGAAATTGTGTGTTACGGGCAGTATAGCAAACACAAATATTATACAACAAATGATACATACATTTGTAGAACAATAAACGAGTAAAGGGTAAAGGACGAACGAAGAGACAGACAAGAAAACACAAATACGTACACAGGTAACACTAATACGTCAGACATTTATAACGCCCTGCGCGCGTTGCATGAGGAATCAATTAGTGCGTCGATGTGTGAAGGATTCTTGTAATAAGCATATAAGTGTGCGGAAGATATTTCTTTAGGTTTTGATTTATCAGCGAATGATGATTTTTGAACGTCCAACTCGTAAAGAGCACATAACGATAAAGTAATCAATTACAAAAAACACTCATTAATATGATTTTATTAATATATATTACGGTTATTATTAATCGATTTTATCATTATTAATTATTATTAACGAAACAAAGATTAAGAAGTAACGGAAAAAACAAACAAAAAAGAAGACACAAGAGCGGTGCAATGAAGAATGTTATATGCGAGGGAGTGAAAAACACAAACATTGACACAAAAAAAATAAAAAAAGACACAACACTAGATGTGAGCGAAAATGTTGAAAAAAAGTGAAAGGGATGACAGCCGAGAGAAAACTTATTATTGTACATACGTTATATAATTACATGTGTACTCGTATGACTGTCGCGAATATGACGAAGAGCAACTCTGTTCATCGAACATAATTAATGACAATGGCAATGATTATGATGATGATGATTTTCTCTGCTTATGCGGATTCAAATAAAATTTGTGTATTATTAAGCAAGAATTACTGAGGTCAATTTTTTCATTATCCAATCCAACTTTTTTGTATATCATAACTTTAATTTTTAATTTAATTTACTTTATGGAAAATTTCGAAAAGTTTGCTGAGGTTATCATATGACACTGAAAAACAAAGTTATTATTAATTTAAAACTTGTTAAAATGTATTTCACTGTATTATCTGATTTATCATAGAACTTTTTATACGTTAAAAATATTTTTAATTTTAATTTCTTCAATTAAATTGAATTGCAAAATAACTCAGTTCTTTGGTGCGCGAAAATTATTCTCGAATAAGCAAATTTTAATGACTGAATAAATAGAAACTATAATATTAAATGTGGAATCGACTTAAACTGCTTTAAAAATGGAATATATGGAGCACAAGCTTTGTAATAACAAATCTATTAGTGCTTTTAGTGTGAAAGGAAATAAGCAACAAAACTCGTTTGAATTTCGAACTTTAGTTACGAAACATAATGAACGTCGTTTATTTTGGCACGGTCCTTAGCAAATTAGAGACAATCGCTAAAGCTACATTTAAAATTTGTGAAAAAGGAAAGAAAATACTATGATTTTGACTTGAAAATAATGACCAAAAATATTGCACTGAAAAATATGCTATCAAAATGAATGCTTTCACTTGTAATGGCATATCCAGAACGCATATAGTAGAAGTTCTAAGAGGCGGAGAGCATAATAACGGCCGGTTGTTTTCACTGGTCAATGCGCTGCTGATTGCACGCCGTCTCTCTTTGACGTCGCCTACGTCTTCCGTGCGTATACAAAGGGGACGAGCTAGAATGCAGGCAAACTGTATATTATGGTTAATCACTCTCCAGTGCCGCGATATCATCCTCCCACTAATGAGATTGCCCGAGTGAGACAGGCTCGATGTGATGTTCCTGAAGCAATTTTGCCTTGCCGATAAGACCTTCTATTTTCTTTACGTAGATTAAGCCCACGTACTTTCTCTAGTTATTCCAAATATTTGTTTGTTTTGTCTTTAAATAATTATTCAGAAACCATTTGCGATGATATTTTTCGAACAGAAAATGCTACTATTTAAAAGTGCTAGTAGATTAATAAACACGCATAAGATATTGCTATTATTTGCAAGCGCTTTAGCATATCTGAACTCTATCCATTCGTTATATTTGATGAAATAATCAGTTATTTCTTGACTACTAAAATTTTCGTTTGTTACACTAGTTTCATTCTTATCAAGAATATCGTACATGAAGCGCCATCTGTTCGCAATGCGACAAACTCTCTACGAATGAGCAACTCGATAGACCACTTCGTAATCGCAAAATTATATAAAGTACTCCAAACTTACATTTAAAAAGTATTTCGACTTCTGAAATTCGTTGAGCTACTTCAAAATACACTGCAAATATGAAAAAGTATATCTTAAGAATACATAGGTAATTTAAACTTCGAGTAACAATGTTTTGTACACTGTCTAAAGTTTTGGTTATTTGTTGAAGCAAAAACTATCTAATTGAATTTAGAGAAGATTAGAAAGAAAACATACGGGTACTCTGAATTGTTCTCATTGTTTTCTTAAAATATATTAGTTTAATGCATTCTGAATTGGGCAAAATAATAGTATTATAAATATAGTAAAATTGCGACAAAATTACGTCGTATACATTTTCAAATTTTGGCGCTTATATCTCTCACACATATCAAAATGAACTTTGCACTGTGCTCAGCTGATCATCCAAAACAGTCCAACTCAACCTCAAACTGCATAGTATTACGGCGTAGTATGCATTCACTTTTACAGTATGCACTTTTCGTTTTATCTTATTATTTTATATCGCTTATAAATCTCACTATATAATTTTAAACTTTTTAATTTATTCTTTTATACAATTACTTAATTATAATAAAAAAAAAAGAGATACGATGGAATGGAGGAACGAGAAGACTGATAAGATGCCAATAAACCGCATAATTTTAATGAGCTGTGGCAAATATAATCCACCAACATTTATGCATCTACGAATGTTTGGTATGTATTATTATGTAAAAAATCTGTGTAATTTCTTAACGTGATAAATAAACTATTATTTTAAATTAAAGCAAGTTGAAATGACTTTGGTTATGTTTCTATCTATATAATCTTGTTCAATGCTAACAAGTAAGAAACCTCAATTAATGATGAGGTCATAACGCAGTCAACATCTTTCTACATTTTTTCATCAGTCAGAATTAAAAACTTGTAAATTTCTAAAACTGTTCTTTATTTACAACTGATACAAGGCAATAAATCATGGTTATATTTAACTTTGAAATCACCAAGAGTCAACAAGAAATTGAAAAATATGTTAAGTTATTTTAAGCCAATTTAACTTGCATTTAATCTACTAACTAGTTTTTCAATGTAGGGTATAAGAAGTGATTGATATTATTATTTATCATTTTTTCCAAATACTTTCAATAAAAAATAACAGCTAAATGCAATCATTAAAAAAGTTATTGCCAGCAAGTCACTACTTATTTGTAGATATTATTTTACTAAGTATAAAAGGTAATCATATTTATTCATGATCAAATTCCTTTTTTAGAAAGAGCACGTGATCATCTTCACACTCTGCGAACACACACTGTAATAGGAGGTGTAATATCACCAGTAAGTGAATCTAGTTCAAATAAGGATCTCGCAGACAGTACAATAAGATGTGATTTATTAAACTTGGCTACTAAGGCAAGCGACTGGATTCGCATGAGCACTTGGGAAATAAGGCAGATGAGCTCAAAGAGTACCAAGGAAATCTTAGAGCACCACCAAAATATATTAGATTCGTATATTAGTAATGCCATTGACAATAACATAAGTAATGAAGATGTAGAGTGGATACCTGATAATGTTAAGAATAATACAAGTCAATCCCAAATACAAATTAAATTACTCTGTGGCTCTGACCTAGTTGAAAGTTTGGTTACTTCCAAACTTTGGTCAGAAGAAGAGGTAAATTGTTTTTGTATTAGTATTAAGGTCAGTCCATTCAATTATACTAACTGCTTTTTTGCAGATAACAGAAATATTAGAAAAGTTTGGTCTAATTGTTATAGGCAAAGAAGGAGTAAATGTATATAAATTTATATATGACTCAGATATTCTTTCAAAACACTTAGTAAGTGTCCTCTTTTGTACTTATGAAAGATATTGCAACTGCAATACTTTATTGCAACTGTTATTTTTAGAATAATATTCACATTGTTACTGAATGGATACCAAATGAAGTGAATTCTACTCGGATAAGGCGAGCTTTGCGACGAGGAGAAAGCGTTAAATATCTCCTTCACAATGATGTCATTGAAGCAATTTATAGAAAACGTATTTACAATGCCGCTAATTGGCTGTCGACGTAAGTAAACTCAAGGCACATTTTCACAGCTTTAAAGGAGCTTTTCAATATCTATTAAAGTCGATAAATAACAGAGCCGTATTATAAACGCGTCGTTCAAACGTATTAAGAAGTGGGCTGTCTTGTCTTAGGCTGCTAAAAATAACTATTGATTAAAGTGGCTTTCAACGAATTTTAGGAATTTCTTTCTCGATCGTGGCATGAATTCTACCGAGATTTTCAATTGAATTTCAAAATAAATCTATCATAAAGTTTGTAATAGCGTGGAATTTTTAGTTATCTGATTGAGAACTATATTATCAAGTTATCTTATCTCAATCAGTATTCAGTTCTATTTATTTGTGTTGTACAACTTACGAAATTCAGTTACGCTATTTGCTTCGTAAGAATGAAAGAAGAATTTCCTTTTGAAAGTTCAACTAGATCTGTAACTTAGGCTTTATTCAATTTTCGTCGAATTTGAAGATAATTAGTGCAAATTTATAGTTCGTAACGTAGTTGGTATGCAAAACTTGCTGTTGACCTTCAAGTCTGCAAATTTGAAAGCTTTTACTCGGCATGAATCAACAAAATAATTAAATAGCAAGTACGAAACTCTACCAGATATTCACAGGAAATGGAAAAATTCAAATTCAAATAAAAAAAGAAACAAATATCACAAGTGAGTCCGACAAACATCGCGCGAGCTTAAACGCGAAATTCAATCAGCCAGCAAGGTTCAGAGCACAATGTGAGGTAGCGCGACAATCTGTAAAACTAACGAGTCTCGGCAGCATACTTTGATCTGTTGTTGGTTTGGTAAGGGAGGAGAGGGGGGGGTGGATAAAAAGGGAAGAAAAGAGCATCGCGGCGTAGAGCGCGAAGGGGAGAGAGCGACTCGCGCGCGCAACTTCCTTCTCGTACAGTCCATCGACTCAACGTCGGTGGTGCGTTGTGCTCCCCTCTCCCGTGAGCAACCCCTCGCTTCGCGCTCACTGTTCTGCCGCGCTGCGAGTTCAGTGCGCGCTCGGCGTTCGTTCGCTTTACGGGCTCGCGCCTCGCGCCTCGCGCCACGCTCTTTGCCAGCTTTTCGCGCACTGAATTGGCTCTCTATTTTCCTTTTCATACGGCCACACCAGCAGCGCACGATGCAGCAGCCGCAGCAGCACTGAGTCTTCGGCAAGCAGCAGTAGGATGGAGGAGAAGGGACGGGTCATATTGATGTCATGTGGCAGTTACAATCCACCGACGCACATGCACCTGCGGATGTTCGGTGAGTTGAGTGTGCGAGTTGTGTGTGTAATCGATAATCCCCTCCGGAGGTTCGCTTGTCGCGGCTGAGCACAGCGGCGGCTACTGCTGCACCTTTTTGGGCTCGGGCTTATTAGAGCGTCCGACAGCGTGACGTCAGCGACGAGCAACTGCCTTCATCCCTCTCTGTCTTGCTGCTGCTACTGCTGGTGCTGCTGCTGCTGCTGCTACTGCTGCGTCGCTCGTATTTTCGGCCGATGACGCGCTTTGGGGCTTGACGCCGCGAGGCTTTTAGCTGCGCGTGCCTTTTTCTTGCTATCGATAAATATTGACGTGGACCTGGATGCGGATACCTCGTTGCGCTACAATATAGAGTGGCGCGATAATGTTGTCGACGATGAGAAGCGAGCTATCGGCTAATCGCATCATTCAATTTGCAGCATGCACAGTTTGTACAGCTTCTCTATAGCTCTCAACTAAATTGCATTTAATTCCGTAATGGATCCGATAAGTGCTCTAATAAAAAAAGCTCTCTGAGTTTTCGCTTTCTTTCGCTGCTGGCTGCCGCAATCTATCTATATATCGCTAATGGAGCTTCATTTGAGCTTTCGGGAAAAAATCGCAATATTGAAATGACGCTTGGTTGCCAACTCCTTTTGCACGCGACAGTGGATTCTCGCGTCGGCGTTTGCTTCGAATGATAAAATGATCGCGCGCGCGAGTAACAAACGATAGCGATCCATCGCATAAAGTATATTATCGGTGAGCCGACTGCTGCAAACGCGAGCCTCGCTGAATTTCGCTACCCTCCCGACCGTTCGAAATGCCCAAGCATTATCAACGCTCTTGCTATTTCCACCCTTTGGCGTATATACGTTTTAAAGATGATAAATGCGCAGCTGGAAACGGGATTTCTCTTCGGATACATTTTTCTCTCGGGTGCGATATCCTCGCGATAGCAGACCCGAGAAGAGACCGCGACAAAGGCGGGCAGAAATGGGAGATTCGATTTGACGCGCATAAGTAGCGGAAGAAAATTGGAAAACCTCCTCGGTTATATCGTCGGTTATTGTGAGCTTATTTCAAAGGAAAATAATTTCTCGCCGGCGTCGAGGAGAGAGAACGACACGCCTTCGGGCATAATTTGAAAGAACGCTCCTCTCGCTCGAAATTGCTATTGGATAATTGGCTTTCCCAACTAATTAGCGCGACGAGGACTTGTTCATTTGTCTCTCTCGATCGTTCGCCGGGGATGGCCTTTGAGAAAAATCCTCAACTTTTCTCGTTAAAGAAAACTCCACGCGCTCCTTTTGAAAGTCATCCGAGAATGATGCCATTTGGACCTTTGTCACGCCGAGCGAAAGCCAAGTTCCTTTGATATTCCCGTAGCCCAAGTCCTTATTTGATTTCAACGTCGCTCGCGGAAATATTTCCTCGCGGTATGCTCCAACGTTTTCCACTGTGAAAGTACTCGCGCGCAGTGTTTTATTACGAGGATGCAGCCCCCTCTCCCAACTAGAACTTGAAATACGTTGCGCGCCCATGAAACTGTAACAAAGCTCGACTTGTCGCGAATTAAAAAGGGAAATGCAGGCCGCGGTGGCGCAAGCGCGTATGAAATTTTAACGAGCATTTGTCGCTCAAAGTAACTCCGCTCGAGTATTTTAATCTCTCTCTAAGTGAGCTTATTAACGTTTAATTGCAATCCGCGTAATAGGTCAAAAAGCGCGTGCGCGTGTGCGCAAATTACTCGAGCTTGTATTTAAAGTGGCAGCGTACCAGCGGGCGCATAATTATCTCGTTCGCGGAATTAGTCGGATGATACGTCCAGCCTGCCTAAAATATCGGACGCGTGCACCATGCTTCCGGTGCGCCGCATCGGAATTCAACTGGCTCTCGAGCAATTACAACTTGCAGCTGCGCAATAATGCAATAAGGACTCGGCGCGCTCGCGCCGGCCGGGCTGTTTAGCCCCGTCTTTGGGGAGAGCGCGCCCACCATGCTTCAATCTTGCATAGGCGCTTGCCGTGACTTGCAAACCGCCTTGGGGAAATGGCTCCAATCAAACATGCATCGCGCAGTCGAGCTGCTTGCTTCGTCAGCGAATCATTGATTTGGCCTGGCCGTCATTTCAAAACTTTCGCTTGCCGCGTCGATTTTACCAGGCAGAAACAATGCATATCGGAGACCGACTGTTTCGGTATATTTCGGAGGTGGAGGCAATGCGACTGCAATTTTCCTCAAACTTTCTGCATTAACGTTTTCTCCAGCGCCTGTATATACGCATTCTGATGTACGGCCTGCCGTTGCTCGTACTTTCGGTTGCTGGTGCCGCGATTGGATGCTGCAGTCGAAAGTTTCATTCGCAAATGCAAACAACGCACAAAAAAAAATACGAAGAGAGTGTTTGCAAACAAACTTGTATACGACGATACAGTTCGCGAGATATTGCGTTTTACACACGATTAGCTTCTTTTCGCTACCTCGCAATATAAAACGTCGTGATTTACCGTTAAAGATAGGAGCGAACAAAGTTCGAGGAGTTTTGTTTTTTATTGACAAAACAATGACAGCGCGACGAGGATGATATCCCTCGTTCGGAGAGCAGTAAGTAACCGCGAATATTTCCGCGTACGCGAGAGTTGAAAATGTACGCAATTTCCGGATTTCTAGCTGAAATGCATAAATGGACGAAGTGCGCGTGGTACGATGTATTTTTTCGGTTACGCGCACGACTTAAACATCGTTTAGTCTTGCTTTCATTAGCTAAGATTACGATGCAGGAGAACTGACAATTCAGGTTTTCGGCTTTGAATCTCAGCAGCGTTCATATTTTTTGAATGCCGCGAGCTTTGGCGGCATCAACGCTGACTTTAGCAGCAACTGTTTTTTTTTTCGCTTTCCATTTTCGACGCATTATTTCGCTTTTCAAAGTTGCTAGGTCGAGACAACCGTGCAAATGCAATTACGTTATGACGCGAACGTACATTCGAAAACTGCCTGACATTTCTAAGCTATTAGCATATTTCAGGCAAGTTTTGCCATACACTAGTAACGCCATTGCGTTCTCTTGCGTCTATGCTTGGCCGGGCAAATAACAGCTTGGTTGCGCGTATTTAGATGGCGGTGCTAGAGCCCCGAGCGAATTCCTTTGTAATAGTACATTTGTAAAGGGCTAAATTTGTTTCAGAGCGAGCACGAGACCACCTGCACAACCTCGGCGCGTACATAGTCGTCGGTGGAGTGGTGTCCCCGGTAAACGACGCGTACGGCAAGAAAGAATTGGCGAGCGGCACGCACAGATGCGAGATGTTGAGACTGGCGCTGCAGGACAGCGACTGGATACGCCTGAGCACGTGGGAGATGCGCCAGCAAGGCTGGACGAGAACACGGGCGTGCCTCCAGCATCACCAGTCGATTTTGAATGCCGTAGTGCCGAATCAAAGCGACGCCAACAGCAACTCGATCGACAACGAAGATCTCGACTGGCTGTCCGAGAACGTGAGGAACAACGATAGCGAAGGTCAGACGCCCATTCAGATAAAGTTGCTGTGCGGTGGTGATCTGCTGGAGAGTTTCGCCACGCCTGGACTCTGGGCTGAAGAGGATGTGAGTGTTTGAGAAGGCATATTGCTCTTGGCACGCGCCGCGACAACGATAAATTCCTAAGTGGTGGGTGGGCACAACTTAGGAGAGCGAGATGCTCGCTGCTTTTCATTGATCTACGCTCATGCGCTTTTAAATTGTTTGCCGCGCCGAAAACTTTGCTCTCCAGTTTTATCGACGCGAGATAATGGTGGCAATTAAGAAAAAAGCACCACTTGCAGTGAAGCGCTGAGCAAGCATATGCAAATTTATTAAGGGCGTGTTCGGCAGTTTCACCTAAAATATTCTCCTCTGCTTCTCCTCTCTTTTTTCGGCAGCAACATTTTCCAATGTTTTTGCGCTTCGTGTCAGTTCCCAGTCGTATCTAGGTCACGCGTTTTTATTTGCTCTGCCAGCAGAGAGAAAGCAAGTTGATTGAAAGAATACCGTTGTATAAGTTTCATTGTACTCTTTTTTGTTACATTTATCAAAGAATGCCGCAGCTGTATTTTTATTTTATTTATCGGCGTATCTATATATGTAAGACAGGCTGCAGTGTATTCTTGTGTCGCCTTATCTACGTGTTGTCCATAAAAATGACTACTTTGTTAAAAACTACACTTTTTATTATTTTTTTCTTTGAGAATAATAACGCGTAAGAAAAGCTCAATTTCTAGACTCTTCAAAAGAACCTTTATCGCGCTTCAAAAAGAAACTTTTTTCCGCAAAAGGTCAAAAGAATACCGCGTTCGCGTATTTCTACTGTACGTTCACTCAAGTTGTCACCGAAGAAGAGTCATGTATGAAAATCTTTCGTTTAATACAGATCGCAGAAATCGTGGGCACCTATGGTCTCATAGTAATCACAAGGGAAGGCTCGAACCCGTACAAGTTCATTTACGACTCGGACGTTCTCTCGAAGTACCTGGTAAAAACACTCTGGACTTTCCGCTAAATTGCAAGAGTTGTTTGCCTCTTCGATATTAACGGCTTTGATTTTTTTTCCTCGCAGCATAATATACAGATAGTCACGGAGTGGATTCCGAACGAGGTGAGCTCGACACGAATACGGCGAGCGCTCAAACGTGGTGAAAGCGTTAAGTATTTGCTGCAAGATCCTGTGATCGATTACGTTTACAAATACGGCATCTATGGCGCTACAAGGCCCTCGACCATGTGAGTTCCAAGCACAGCTCACGATCTTCCTTGTTGGCCCTCGACTATTTTTATTTTTATATGTTGCTTAGTATGTTATTACTGTTTAGTTCATTGTTACTCTTGTTTTGCTGATGCGAATGGGATCTTTTTATCTTGATAATGGACTTGTGCCAAAATTATACTAACTTGAGTGATGATATGGGTGTCTGAAATTCGGAATTATTTTTCTTCGCAATAATGATCAACAGATCATTACCGTTTACTATTTTTGATCAACTCTTTTTAAAGATCTAACAATTATCATTTTTCTGGTGAACAATATTAAAAGCGATAACTTCTTTCATTGTGAATTAGATACAAGTTTCTATTCAACATATTTCGTTTCAAATAACTACTTTTTTACTATTGTTCTTTGCTTTCAAATTTAACTTAGATTGTCTTCAATAAATCTTTCAACGTATAACAAAAAAAATCTCGAAATCAAATATATTTGAAGTTGGAAGCGACAATAATAGTAGACTGCGTAGTTTAGCAAGTTATTATATTCGCGAATATCCATCTCAGAACTGTTTTTCTGTAGTTTCTGCTAAAGATGTACAATAAGAGTCGTGTAAAATAATAAATTCTTGAACAAAGGCAGTCTATTAAAAAGATTCCATTAGTCTAGTCTTCCTCGTGTCTTCCAATGTTTTCGTAGAAAAATGTTTAAAGTAACCGGAGATAAAGTAAGTTTTAAAAAATTATTATAATATTACACAGTTTGAAGCAAACGTTAGTGTTTTTGTAGATAATGTTAAAAAGTGATACAGTTGAATTTCGATAATATGAAGTTATATAAAATACTATGTAGTTCTTTTGCCGCATTTAGTTCAAGAGAAATATGTTACAAAAAATTAATTATCGATATTCCGCTGTCAAATGAAATTTTTTATGGCACTAAAGTGTACATGTACGAAATGAAGTGCGCGATAGATGTAAATTTTCTGGTTGTGATCAAAACATTTTTCAAATAAAATCAAACCTTATTTATTGAATTATTTTGGGTCGTTTGTTACATTTTTATATACGAGAAGCAGACTAAAGCTTGTCCAAACTTCTCTGTTGTTTCACGCTGCCGCTCGTGCCATCGTCCTGCTATTGGACCACTCAAAACTAAACAGTAAGTTACAATTTGCATCAAATAATTCCTCGACCGACTACCTTGACACCGACGAAGCGAATGCCTCTCTAACGCCGTCGCCAAGCGACGTGATAATGCAGGAGTCGACGACGACGACGACGACGACGCCGCAAGTTGTGAAAAATAATAGTTACTCGGACGAAAGTCCGGAGGAGAACACTGAATTAGCGCGTGAAAAGTTTTTCCGCAGTCTCGAGTCGTCGTCGTCGATGCTCCTGCAGCATCAACATCAGCAGCAACATCAGTTCAGTAGCGCTAGGGCCAGGAACGAATTATTGGCGTTTGACGACATGACCGAGAGCGAATTGGCGACAATGTGCGATAACACTTACAGCGAGGAGAGAGAGGACGACGGTTTATCAATCACGTACGAGGAGAGCAGCGAGGATTTGAACGAGTCTTCCGTGAGAAACAACAAAGACTGCAAAGTTAAGCAAACGTCCGAAGATACAGTTAGTTCGTCGAGAAACGGCTCGATTGGTTTCGAACCACTGGAGGACTCCGACTCGCAGGCAACCAAGTTCGAGAGCAATCTGGAAATCGATGGCAAGTATATCAAGTCACTGGTGAACTCGAAAAAGACGCCAAAGAAATCATCCGACGACAGAGACGAGGAGGAGCCTGAAATCGAAAGTACGCTGGACACCGACGAGGCGAAAACCGTGGCGGAAAAAGTCGAGCCAGATGCCAACGAAATCAGTATATTCGACGATGACATTAGCTACATCAAGCGCTTCCGGCTGATCATTAATAAGCCTGCCGACCAAACAACAGCACAAAGCCAACATCTCAAAGGCAGTCTCGACTCGATCAATTTGCAGGAGTCCAAAGGATCGAGTAGAAGTACGATCAAGAGTATGTCGAAGAAATCCAAGAGTTTTGAGTCGATCAAGCGCAACGCGTCGACTTCCGTCTACTGCGACGCCAGGCAGAAATCCGACAATACTTCGCAGTTCGTCACTGCGTTGGAAACCGAAGAACGTTGTTCCGCGTGCTCGCCGGACGAAGACTCGACCGAGTGTGACATTTGCAGCTCGTGCAATTTGCGCGATTCCGAGGACGCGAAGGAGCCAAGTTTGAGCGAAACGACGGAAATCTGCGAGATTTGCGGGGAGCCAGCTACGACTACGGAAGAATTGTTGACCGACAGTCCGCAAACGATTAACAGCAGGTCTGTCCCACTGAATCTTCCCAAAGCTAAATCAACGATCGAAATCAACCAAGGATCTTACAGAAGACCGACGGTGGACGAAAGGTATGAGATCGACAATTGTGGCTTGCAAGACTGCCGACTGAGAGCTTCCTTGGATACTTGTAACAAACCCGAACCACTCTATGTAAACGTCATACCTCGACAGCAAGCACCAATTAGATATATTGCCAGTCGTGACGACGTGGCGATGTCGCGAAGTTTGAGTATCGGTGGGGGAATAAAACGTTCAAGTCGAAAGACATTCCCAAAGAAAACGACGACTCAAGAGAAACGAAGGTACTCATCGGTGGACAATTTACAGAATCGAACGCTGTCGTTTCGCTCGAGCGAGAAACTCTCCAAGACTCGCGAGAGCAAGTTTACAACCTCGGCAGACAATATCAGACCAGCGAGGGTCTCGAGAAGCAGGTCATTGAGAAGATCCGCCGATAACTTCTCGTCGGGAGATAATTTGGACGAGGATGACGAATACACGAGGGTTAAGATACGCGACACCGACACCATCAAGATGATACTCACCAAGCACGGTATTAAAATAATCAGTCAGAAAGAGACGGTTTTATAGGACGACGATATGGGCGAGATTCTTTGTTAAATGTTTTTTTAGGTTCGTAGGTTGATTTTGCGGAGCTTTTTTTACAGGAGCGTATCCATATTATACAGGGTAGAAGAAATTGTCTTTTTTTAATTTTAATGGGAACATATCGATTGGGCAAGTTCTCACCAAGTTTGTTTGTCAAGTGATAAAGTCGTAAGTATACGTGTTTAGCGAAATATGTCTTCCTTATGATAGTGCGAAAATCGAATTGCCGTGTTGTTTCATATCAGAATTATATGTGCAAGTAGAATAGTTTTATATACGTGTGTGACGTTTTTAGATGGACTTTTATAGCGTTATGAAGATATACTACATCCATCAAAGAAACTATTTACTTTGCAGTATCGGTGCTAACAACGAAATTTTTAATGATTCCGCAAAGTCAACCATTATTCTCGCTAGGATTCAAGTACACTTAGTTCACGACAAACAATCAATAGAAAATTGCCCATATCTATAACTACAATCGAATGAGAAATAAATTAATTTAGTTCCAGCATAAAGACTTGATATAGAAATACAGAGCTATAAGTTTTCACGTTTTCAATTTCGAAAGTCTATTTTTTAACGTCAGATTACAAAAGAGAATTATAAAAAAGCGTTGTAAAGAATATATATAAAATAGATCCTGTTCGTCGATATATTTCGGTCAAGCTTACGTTGATGTTTTTGGAACCTCATTGATTTCTTTAGTAGCGCTTCACCAATGCTTTACTAGAGCAAATTGATGACGATCATTATATTTACAATCAAAAATTTTTTAGAGTCGCTTATTATATACGTTTAATGTGATTGATTCACTCCTATATAGAGAACAATGTGTGTTGGTGTAACAGATATATAGAAGGAAAGTAGGCAAGCAAAAATAATTAGGAATTGGAACAGAGCAAACGACAGAATGTAGAGGTAAAGACAACTAAATTTTACGTTGCCAATAATGTGCCAAGCATCCAGATGCGAAAAAAAAAGAAAAAAAAAATCTTTCCAAAAAGTCACGTAGATTAAGTTTAATCGTAATAAGAACCACGAGAGTCGTCGAGTTTATATGACAATCCTGGACATATGTCAATATACAAGTCTTAGATTTCTTGATATTATATACGTTATACAAACCTATATTAAAAAAAAAAAAAAACAATAATTAAATATCAACTGATTGGAATTATAATGAATATATACACATTAAAACTGGTTGTAAAAGCTATTATTGAATATATATTTCAGAATTTAGAAAGAAACAATTATTGCACGTTATAGCGGAATAATATGTATAACGAACGATTTCAAGCTATTGCGATTGAACATAAAAACGAATCATCGAACTATAAACTTTTTAAGCGTTCGTTCGGAGACGAGAAGCATAAAGAAGCGTAAAGCCAAAAGATAAAAAGTTATACATTGAATTTTCTTTTGTGAAAGAAATGTGCGTAAGTGAGTGCCAATATGGAAATTAAAGTCTTCTTACTCTGAAAGTGTTTTACCATTGTTTTCGTCAATTTACATTGCAGTTGCTTACACGAGAGTGCGAGCAAAAACTTGTGCGTACATCAGCTTTTCCTATGTTAAATAAACGACTGCATGATAAATTATTGATGTTGAATTTCCAACAGATATTATACAATCAGGTGTTTCGTGAATGTATTTACCTACTCGTAGTTAATTTTTAGTTGTTCGAAATAGTTACAACAAGAGCGATAAATTATAATTAGCAGAGATTTTTCATATATTTCATATATTTATATTTAGACAGAAACATTTTAGTAAAACCGACGACAATTTTTATAGCACTATAGAGTATGAACTGTTGCGTTTGATGGCAGACAACTGATGCTTCTAGGACGGAATGACATTTTTTATGTGTCTATATTACTATTATGCTTCGACATTTATTTCTGCAAACTTTTTACCTGTTACTTACATTTTTCGATCATATACTAGTTACTATGCATCTTCCAAATAATTTTATATTTTACTTGTTACAATGTTGAAAATAAAAAGTATTTAAAAATAATACTCTACACGCGATGCTTTGTGGACATATCTTTTGAGAAAGCTCTTTTTAAATCACTATTCGATGTACTATATCTTACTAAAGCCTTTGAATTTCATTTAAAAAATGAAAGCTCCATACGCTCGAAAACTCAATTGAGATAGAACAAAGAGAGCAATACTTTTTATTTTGTAATCGACAGTAAGCTATAGCTGAGTGTCATTTTTTTTCTAAATTTTCATTGGCTGCGCAGAAATAGGGTGTGCGACATAAAAATACCCGCAAGCTCGTTGTAAGCCGATTGCGAAACTCCATAACTCCCAAGCTCTGTAGCCGTTGCAGAACAAAACCATGTCAGAAGTAGAGTCGGTACACCCTAGAGTCGCGTAGAGCCACATCGTACGTGTGTGTATGAGTGTGAATGTGTAGGATGAATAGGTCAACGAGGGCAGCCGCTTTGACAAGGCCATTGTTTCAGGGCGTCACTCTTCTCGCGAGAGCGTACAAGACATCGTCGAGCGGCTGATCGCCGAAGGAAACCGCAGGTCCGTTATCGGCGTTGCTCCGAAACACGAGACTCGTAATAGAGCACGCGAGAAAGGGCATCCAGACAAGAAGAACGCACGGAAAATCCGTATCAAACACGACGTCGACTGTGTCGAATTCACCGTTAAGATTCGCATTTAAGATTTCGCACTTTCAAGTGTTCCTCCTTACTTTTCTTTTTTGCTTGTTTGTTCAATCGTTTTGTTTAATCGGTTTATCGTGTGCACTCACACATCATTATTCGTAATTGTTTTTAGTAGAATATTCTTTGTAATTTGGAATGCTCCTTTTACATTATTCTATGTAAGGCATATTAGTTATAGATAATTGTTAGTGATAATCGTTTAGAATTTTATTCGGCTGAGGAATGTGGAGCTGTTATAGGATTAGAATTTTTTTGCTTTTTCACTTAATTCACTCATATAACAATGGCACCTTTTCAATTTCCTTTATAAGAAATAAAATATTTCAGTTATCATTGATTGTTTTTATATATTGCATGCCTTACTTGTCAAATTAATTTTTATTCGAAAAGTAAGTTGAGAAAACTAGAACAATAAGGACGACTGAAAAATTCACATTCGAAGGTGATCAATTTTCATTACCTATACGAACCAACATCCCTGCAGAGATAAACATTAGAACTATACGCTCCGAATGAAAATCAGTTGAAAATTGAGATGTAACGTATATATATTACATGTTGTATATGTTTGTATTATACAAAATATAAAATATCAACAAATGAAAATACATGTTTGGAAACATGTACCGTGCCAGCAAAATTTGGAACGATGTAAGTGAAAAGATCATATTGAATAAAAAAACATTAAAACGAAATATCGAATTTCGTGTATCAATAAAACGTCTATTCCTATCATTTTTGTTAGAATAATTTAGTTTTATTTTATTTAGCAAACAAATTATTTTTATGAAAATATGCTAATTTATTTATATTTTCTATATTTTGGCAAAATAATCTTAATTTTCGAAATTAAATTACATATGAGTTTTAATTACCTCGATCATTTTCTTTCCTGTTTAAAAAAAAATTAACTTGAAGTCTCACTGAAATTACTTAATCAGCAAAGTCAATGAATTTTCATAATAAATTACTAAAATTCGTCGTCATGATTTACAGATTTCTTCTTCAGTGAATTATAAGGTCTAGTGATGAATTGCAAATATCTCATCTTTACGCAGTAAACCGATTATGGCTAAAATCCAAATGGTTAAGACGAATAAGGGACTGAAAACTGTAGGATTGAATAGCGACTGAACGTTATCCAGAAGTTCTCGTAACGTAAAGCATTACTATTAAATTTCGATATTTTTACGACCGACTAAAATATAATCTTACATCACTTAATAACTTCAATGTTTATACGTTTAAACTTTCTATCAGTCGAAAAAATGTTAAATAATGTTTTTATTTCAACATGAGAAATTATTCGATTCCAAATTGAAAAACAAATGATTTCAAAAGGTTTTTTCGTCATGAAAATGATTCATTTACATTTTCTAATGTCGTAATACCGAGTCGGATAAAATGAAAAATGTAGTAGTCGACACTCGAATTACCACTTGTGTATCCGTGAGTAACTCCTAAGAGCGGTTAAAGTTTAAAGTCAAGTTTTTTATAAATGTGAAGCTAAAAGTAAAATTATTATATTGGCAGGTACACTGCTGAAGTGTCAAGATCGATGTTCTATGAAAAGCTCCAAGAGCTTGTAACTCTATTCACAGATAAGTACGTACATGTATGGATATAACTCACAATAAAAATTAAATTTAGTGTAACTATCTGAACGCTCATTTAGGTTTCACTTGTCAGGAAATAAGACAGAGTGCGCGAAGAACACACAACGAAAAGAAGAAATCAACGTTTGAGCTTACACTGCTCTTATGCCGAGCCGCTCCGATAGAGATGAAAAATAACGTTATTTAAATTATTAGACAAATGCATGAGAACATAATATTACTATACTGAAAAAATATGTACGAGAAGTCAATGGGGGTGTTCAATTTCTATGAGCGTTCTCCATGGAGGATTTTCTTTACCTAATAAAGTTCTTGATGATTAAGACTCTGAATATCTTTCCAAAAAAACATCAATGTGGAGTAGTCTTTTTTCGTTGTTTCAACTATCCTGCAGTTGTTTTTCACTATTCATTCCGCACCGAGAGAATGCTTACACTCTTTCGTTATTAATGAAAGTTGAAAAAAGTTTATATGTGAAAATGAAATATATTTATAACAGAAGAACTAGTTAATAAGTAATTTTAAGTAATATATTTCATATCACATATTCATTACATTATTATTCCATCCTCCGATCAAAAGCTTTGTGTTCTTCTGGAGGTTATTAGACCATTCCAGTATATATGTAACTGCCTGTCATTTCTGTTGACAAATAAATAAATGAATAAAAATGCAAACATGAATTTCATTTAAAAAACACCTACTTGATCATTTTTCATGTAATTATATTTTTATTTATAAACGTTATTGTTTTGTACATTAGAGCAATGTTAGGTGTAGAAAACATTACTTTTAATAGGAAATATTTTTATTAAAATAAACTAATTTATTTACATTTTCTAAAAATTTATTTTAATGATGTACAATCTGGTAATCTGAACTACTTAAATCAGATTTCAGTTTTTTTATGCAATAAGATTTTTTTTGCAATTTTATTACCAAAAAAATACTTTTAACATTTATTTTAAGCATCCTTTTGAAGATATTTTCTCATATTTTGCTTATATTCTGACTAGAGATGCATTCCATTTAGAAGATTTTTTTTATAAAGATCAATCAACATACAAAGTGGTTATAAAGAGTGATACCTTTATAAAAATAGTTATAAAATATTTTTTTTAATAATACATTTACAAAGTATCAAAGTGTCTATGATGCTCCAAATTTTTAAATTGACATTTAATATGAAATATAAGTTATCCAATGTAGTATAATAAAAAATACTATTCGATTCTACGGGAATAATAGATTTCATCATATTATCTAAGCGGTAAATGTATTTTACATCCATCACCTCAATGAGGTCGAAAATATTTTACAATATCTTACAACGCAATGTGACCCTGTTTAAGATAGTGCAATTGCGAGATTTTAACACAAATGGCAAGACCAAACATAATTTATATTATTGCTAATCCTTGAAAATTGATGGATTATAACGACAAACGTCGTACACAAAGAATGCAGATAAAATATGTTTTTTCTCATGACATGCAAAACAGTGTTTTTATTGATGATATCAACAATCTAACTTATAAAACTTTGTGAAAATATGAATTGCGATATATCCAACAGTTAAAAACTTAAAAATCAATTTTCTTTCTTATTTCTCCGTGTTCTCTTCGATAAAACAAGCATTTAAAGTTTCAAAATTAAAATTCAAGTTGAAATCATCTCTATGCCTTTAATTACAATCTTCAACGATCTCTTTCTTTATTTTTTCTAATAAAAAAAAAATAATTAGTTTTTTCGAAAACAACTAACCGGCAAAAAGTCAAACAGTTTTTGCAATAAAATACTGAAACTTTTTACACGACCCACATTAAAACTTCTATTCGATAAAAATTTCTTCTAAAGCCTCATGATAGTTAAGTTTCTTCGCAAAGATTCAGAGACTTATGTCCTCTTCAATAAATTAAAAAAAAAGCGACTAATTGCCGTGTCTCGTTACGAGATTTTGCGTAGACCGAGTAGGCACAGAGTGACAAAGGTTGAAATCCAACCAATCGTGACTAAAAAGCCACTGTAAACTTCAGGATCTGATATCGAGTAACCTTTATCCAGAAGTCCACGTAGGGCGAAGCTTGGTACTGTCGTTGGCATAAAGTAACTCACATACCTCAGGAACGGCGGCATACCTTCGACTGGCCATACCGCTCCTAAAATGCCAATAGACAATGCTAATCGAAAGTAGTACTTTTATCTGAACGTAAGGAATAATTCGCTTTAAAAATGGAAAATAAGTCGTTTTAAAAAGTACTTTCACACAAACAATGATTCATAGTGTTAAATATTCTCGAGACTTTCACGATCGAAACAGTTATAAAAAGTGTTTTTTTTTTTAAGGCTATTGGAATGGATTATAATGAAAAAATGCAAGAGTCGACACTGGAGGTGCTGCTGGTGTATCCGCATATCTCAAGAAGCTAATTTTACAAGTTAAGTTTCTTTATAAGAGTGGGGGTCAAAGCAGAATTATTATATAGGCGGATGTGCTGCTGAAGTGTCTCGATCGATGTTCTATAAAAAGCTCTGCCGTGAGCACGCGCGGACTATGCATAGTTCTGTACACGAGTGACAAACAATAAAATATTAAATATAGTATATACAGATAAGTAGGTGTTTTTACCGCACAACAGTATGATAGGATAGAAGCTTCCAGTTGACACGAAATTAGCCACTGTGTGGGAAGTGCACAGCACGGAGATGAGAAATCCTGCGGAAATAAGTCAAGGTTTTAGCTCGATGTGTACGGGTGATATTGATTTCACAATGCGGCTATTACCGTAACACATTCCGCCTATCCCGGTTAGTAGCACCAATACAATGACCATTCCAAAGTTGCCTCGACAAGACAACTGGAAATATGCGAATGTTATGACTAATACCACTGTCACTTGAATAATGATCATCAGGAATTGAGTGATAATGTGGGAAAATAAAATTGCTGACGTTGTGACTCCTGCAATAACAAAAAATAACAGCTTGAGAAAGTCATTTCAACGAAAGTTTTTGCCCTAAACTCGGGTAATTTATTTCTCTCTTTCTCAAAACTTTTCTATTTAGGTTGAATACCCAAACATTTACCCGATGAAGCGCCTTTTTTTCCGAGCAATATTTTACGAATGTTTGACCACTGTAAGAAATACCGCGAATAAAAAAGTAAATTTAACAAACATATTTTGTTTTTTATAGATTGACGTGACTTCTTTGTCGATATAAAATACTAAAGTATATCTCGCCAATAATTATAATGCATTACAGATGATGCGTAAGAAAGCATGCCATCATTGCCGCGTTCCATGAAATGCATTGGTAAACAGTTATTGTGCGTACAATTGATTACTCCTAAAGCGGATTTGAATGAGGAAGTGAGAACTCTGATATATATAGAAGGATTGGCTTTTCGCGGGGAGGTCCGCATGCTTTCTGCATACTAATAGATGAGTTTACGACAATTGGGCGGCTCATTGTTCGCCATAACAAGCCGTAAGACAATCGCAAAGTCACTCGCAAAGACTGCATAGAATGACCTTTGCGGATTTTCAATTCATAAGAAATCGCGCCAACTATTACTGCGTGTTTTGCTTTCTACTTCGACTGATCAGTCATTTCGAATTTGACTATACCTTGTACGAGACTTCGGTCCCACACACCCTCAGCACGATCCGCAATGATGATTGACGAGGACACGGCCGTTGCCAGAAAGAAAGTGATCCTGTGAAACAATGATTAATTACTTATCCGGGCATCGAGCTACGTCATTTTCGGCGTAGGTAATTTACGTTAGTATGAATCCTGGTGCCATAAAATCCGAATATTTCTGGTCTTTTCTTCCAAACACAGGTTCTTCAAACTGTAATGATTTTAGTTAATGCACGCGAACTGACCTTATTCACAATAAAAATCTGTATACGCACGTGAATAGGCATGCTGACAAATTTCCTAGAAATGTCGCAGGTGGCTACTATATCTGCGTGGATATCAAAGAACCGCTCGTAAAGATTCTTTTGTAGGAACAGTCCGATTTGGCGATCTGGACATACAAGTGAATAATTCATTGACATGCGAGGAACCTTGTTTATCAAAATGTAAGTACTAAAAAGTTGAAAAACTTTGCTAATAAAGAACGCGGGATTGCAACGAAGAATTTTTTCAAGAGAAACAGCACGCAACGCAAAAACCATTTATCTCGAAACACAGCGCCGCTCTTGTAATTAGAAAGAAAAAATATAACGGTTTTACTGCAGTTGTATGGCGTCATAACTATTTTGCGCGGACGAAACAGAGCTGCGCGCGTTGCAGAAAAATTGATTGTTATCCCGACACAAACTGCAGCGATAAATCCCCGTCTGATTTCTAACACCCGCACCCGCATGGCATATAAATCCGCAACGCCAGCTCGCAGTTTCCTGGCTACACATACCTGTCTACATACTCCAGCCGGGCTATAAAAAAGGCTAACGCGAACATTCGTAAAAAAAGCTTACCGCCCATGTCGAGCGCCGTATGGATCTCGCTTGCGACAATGTCATCCTCTGCAAGGAAGTCTAACGAATCGCGGCGGCTTTGGAACGCTTGAGAGAAGTTTCGACCGAAGTACATTGTGCCTGCGGCTTTGCCTGATTGCACTGCCAGCGTCGCTTCCTCTAGCGTATTGAAGTATTGCTTGAAAATAAAAGAGAAGGATTTTCATTCCAGCTGGACCAACAACAATCGAGACAAACATCATGGTGGAGAATAAACAAAAAAATTTATATTTCAAATATAAAATTCTTAAAGCTTATGTTTCTGAAAGATTATTCTTCGAAGCAGTTTCCTTGCTTTTTATTATCCGGCTATAGTTTTTGCTTTCATGTCGATCTTTATTTCTTTTTATTACTAGCAATTTCAAATTATAGACATAAATAGCATAAATCTTACCACTGTTTCATTCAATACATGAGAATAATGTCAATTTTAATGTATCACCAATTTTACACTACAAACGAACACTATGAACCTTTGAAAAAAATCTGAAATACGTAGGAGAGAAAAAGAATATTATATCAAACCCGACTTTTTCCTATTGTCCTGTAAATAACTTCTATCGAAAAATATAAAAAGAAAAATAGTTTTACTATCTTTATATGCTCACCTTTGTCATAACGGATTCGTTGAAACCATGCAAAAACCGACAGCTAATATCTATATAATCGCACGTTTTCTCGTCCGGATTATAAATGACTTGGCCCAAGTTCCGTCCATGGTCGCAGTGTCCAGCTTCGTCGTTGACAACGGCAACTACGATACCTCTGGGATCCGCGCCGACAGAGTAGAAAAATATCGTTGTTTGGACTATTGGAAAAATGAAGGCGAACAGAATGCCACTGGAAAAATATGATCGAGAGATCGTTAGAGTTTTTTTGAATATTTTATGCACATCTTGATAGATATTATTTTTCTTTACCCAGGATGTCGCAAAAATTGAAGAAAGTTCTTTATCATTAAGGCTTTAAATATCTTTCCAAAAAACGTCGAACAATGTGGGGTTCTTTTTTTTTCGTTGTATTGACTGTCTAGCAGTTGTTTTTCACTATTCACTATACACTGAAAGAGAAAAAAATTATTCATACAATTAAAATAGCTGTGTACTATAAGATGCTAATTTTATATTGTTGAAAGGTTTTGTTACAATCAGGAGAGTAATGTAATTTGAAAACAACGTATAGGTTTGCCCATAATCTTCCCTTAATGTTAATGGTAGCAAAAGTTTCGTAAGATATATCATTTGAAAATAAGTACATTCATGTAAAATCTATTACATTTTGGAACCATTGCCATTAATATACTAAGCGCTTAACGGAAAATAATATGGAATCCCTGTGATCAATAAGAAATTTTATATCGTAACAAATTTTTAAAGAAAATATCACGCGACAGAGCTTACATCAATGTTATTGCGATGGTCTGACTGTAAAGAAGGTATCGTATTGGTAAACACCTCATCAAGATCATCGATGGCAAGTCGATCGTTGTCCACATTGAGAATTCCCTTGTCCCTGCGTTCCTTCTGTCTTTGACTAAGGATGAGGAAGGCATCCTCGAGGCTTTGACAATGAAACCTTGCTAATAATTTCGTTGGTGTCGTCTCTGCCAACAACTGACCGCATCTCAGTAGTCCGATCTATATAATGATCATTAATGTTCGATTGTTAGGATTTTATTTTATTCGTTTGATGACAGTTGTGTGTACCCTGTTGGCGAGTTTGGTTTCCTCGATGTAATGTGTTGTGATTACTACTGCTGTACCTTCTTCCTTTGTTAATTTCACCAGGAACTGCCATATGCTAGAAATAAAGCTCTCGATGAAAGATTTTTCTAAACTACTTGGGAGGGAGGGGGGGGGGCAACAGTTGTTTGACAAATGTTATTTTTAAATGTACGTATGAAGAAATAAAGAGTTTAATCTTTTGTTCTGCAAAAAATGTTAGTAATTTTGTAATGTCATATTTTACATGGGATTAAAGTTATAGTAAAACCAAAATACTTGCTTTTCACGAAGAATAGGATCCAAACCAACGGTGGGCTCGTCGAGTATCAGTAGTTCGGGTTTGTGTATCAGCGAAGCGGCAAAGGATACTCGTCTCTGTTGGCCACCACTTAAGTGCTTTACAAGCCGGTTCTTCGGCGGCAACTGCAGTAACTCCGAAAAGAAAGTGAACCGTTCGTCTGTAAAATAAAGATTTTTGTGTTCTATTTTTACGAAATATCATCAAAAATAAAAGTTAACTTCCTTCAAATCGATATATAATAAGTATGTAATTACTGTTAAAAGCTCACCAATATCTCTGTCCTCAAGACCATTGATCCGGCCAAAATAATATAGAGCACCGATAACGGAAAATTCGCGAACAAGTGAGATCTCTTGGGGCATATAACCAACTCTGGGTCCTGGTATACCTGAATCCTTTTGTCCGGGTTTACCACCCAACACCCATATCTCGCCTTGATCCAATTTGCGAACTCCCACGACACACGACAACAAGGTGGTTTTGCCGCAGCCGCTTGCGCCTAGTAATCCGTATCTGTAAGAATTGATGTTTTACTTATCACAGAAAAAATTTGAGAGAAGAGTTTGTTTTAATGTTTTTTGTTGATGAAAATTTTTGTATTTGCATGAACATTTTTAATAAGGTGCATACGACATCGGCGATATTAATCATCATGCTTCGTATACATTCTGATAATGTATGATACAACAATGTTGTGCATAGAATGATTATTTATGAAATAGAAAGATGACCCTTAAAAATGTGCATTGCTATTGCTCGCACTTAGCAATTTGTGACTGGGGAAATATATTTTAATATCTTATTACAAAGAACCTTTACCTAAGACGTTGACGAGTTGGTTTAATTAGAAAATCGCGAGATTTGGATTCGGACGTATATAATTGGATGGTTTAGAGTAGTGACACACTTGCACGTGAAAAAACTTATGTAAACTATTCATATGTCGTTGATGTTAAAAATCAGTAATTTAAAATGTTTATTTTAATTGTCCTTGAAAGTAATTAGTAATGCTGAACAGAAGATATCACGGAATTGAGTCAGTTTGAAAAAGCAATTATTTTTCCTAAAACACGTACACCCGAAATAAATGGCGCGATACCCTTTGAATATTTTAGTTTGACCTTGACTCACATGCATCCTCGAGGAACGGTCATGTTGAGGCCATCGAGAACGGGTGGCTGTCCTTTTCCATAGCGCTTGTAAGCGTATCTCACGATAACCGCGTCCTGCTGCATCGTAGCTTCTAAATTTGGATCAGCAGAATAGTTACCTGCAACGAAATATTAATTTTCTACTTCATTAATAATTAGATTAATTTTGTTCACATTTTTCAATTATTACATAGCCTATCAACATTTGAATGCCTCGATTATTCGTATTAATGGCATTAATTCCGAACAGTTTGAATCTACTGATAACTCTTGAACACTTTTATTTACGGTAGCAATAAAATTGACTGTCGCCAAAGTCATTCGCAATCATTTCAATTTACAAAATAACGTACGTAGATAGCGTAATAATCAGGTTTGAAATAGCAGTGATTTACTATGAATACGTTATAACGACAACAAAGAAAAAAAGAAAAGAGACATGACAATCAGAAAGTAAACAAAGACGCATCGTGCTCGCAAGAAAATCGACGCGATTTACGTGACGTCGTTGCCGCAAGAAGAGGCATCGTAAGCTCATTACTTAGCCGCTAAAGTGCTGCCAAGCCTGCTGAAAAAGTCCGCGTCAAGCGGATTCAGTGCACGTCTCTCTGCGAGCGAACGAGCCGCACTTTCGCTGAGATTGCTCATGATCTCGTGCGCTTTGAAATTCCCCGTCAAAGTGACGAACATATCCGAATTAATGCAACGGCGCGTAAACGCGTGATGCGCGTTCCCGGTTGCGCTAGCAGCTCAGCGGATGGCAGGATTCCTCCCGAGCTGAATAAAGGGCTCATCTGGCGAGATTTTCCAAGTGTTCGTGACTATTGCAAGCTTCCGGGAGAACTTGAGTACATCTATATGCTAAATATTAGCGAAAACTTGGACGATTTTGAATAGTGTTTGATGACTGTTTGAATTATGCATTGAATTTCAAATGAGTTGCAACAATGCTTCAATCCATTCCGCGTTTTAATAAAAACGTTGCTTGCAATTTCATGGAATCAACACTATAAACAAGCTCTTTCAAGATCCAAAAGTAATTCCGTTGGGTTTAAAGAAAAGTCATTTTTCAAGATACTTTTTGTCAATGTTTCCTTGTCAAAATATTTGACTTGATAAATAAACGACCACGTGCTCTTGTTTAAACACGACAACAGAAGGTAATTATGCCTGTTAAAATGGAATATTACGAGCCGTTAGATACCACATGCGGGTCAGATAAAACGAACAGTAGCACACTGAAATTTCAGCCTCAAATAAACATTTAATTTATGTCGAAGTATCGCTGAACTTTCCAAAATCTTACTTACAAAATCTTTAATCATGGGGGCTATTTACTTTCTAAGGGTGGTATTCTGCACTGTAATTCCCAAGTAATATTTCATCATTACGCGAAAGATGAGTTGGAAAATACGATTTTCGTACACATCAGCGAGCAAGGCGGAGAGTCAATGAAAGCGCCTCTGGGCGTAACATTAAATGCGAACAGATGCTACGTGCCGTCATGGATTTACGGTCGGGACGAGACTCCGCGAGAAAGTTCTTGTCGGTGAAAAACGTTGTTTTGTCTGCTGAACAGATGAAAGCCTTGATTGCTACTTATAACACCGAGTAATTTACTAGCCTGAGAGCGTGCGAACGCCTTATAAGTCACAGTAAACTTGGGCTGGCAGTTCGGAATCTTTCGAAATCGAAAAATGTTTCGTTGCACCTTCGCTTGTTTGCGATTGCAAATTCAAGTCAGCGCGATTGAAAAAAGAAGATCCGTGTAAACGTTCGCGTGGCGTTGAATGTAAAAAATAAACAAGAGCAGCGCGCGTCCGATGCGAAATATGAAATATCAACAGAAGCCGTATCCAAATAAAACACAGCTTAATGTGCAGTAATCACTCTCTAAACGGAGGACAATGTCATGATTAATTCACTCGATGGCGCATCCTGCTACATAAAAACATTATAGTTCTGCCCGCTGATTTCCACGTACGAATAAACAATGCACGGTTAAAATGAAAAAACGCAATAAGCGGGATTAAACAAAAGAGGGAAAAAGGTCCGTACGAAGAAAAAAACTGTCACTGCACCTGTTCAATAATTCATGTAGCTGCGCATCCTCTCTAATTAAGAATTCCGCGATGCAACGAGGTGAATCACGCGCGCGTTGAAATTCCAAACTACAACGAAGCGTGTTATAGTGTGTGCGTGGGTGTGCGTTTCAGACGTTTCTTATGTTTTTCATTTTGTTTCGTTGGTTTTTCCGTAACACATTTAATCGTGAGCAGCGAGAGTGCGCGACGAATCGCTAAGTGGGTCACGAAGTCGCCTGCCATTCGTCAGCCGAACGTATTCATTTTTAAGAATTGTTTTTTTTTTCGGTCCATGCACTCTCGATTCAATTATGAATTATTCAAACGTAAATTCGAACACCTGTTACGCGAGGCGTCGTTTAATTAAAACAAAAAATAACAATTTGCAAATTAGTGAAAATCTAAATACGACGCGCTTAGCCCACTGACGAAGCTGACCGAGTGTTGGAAATAACAAGAGCAATTAGTAGAAGAATCACGCGGCACGCACTCTGCGGATCTCAGTTTGTGTTTTCGAAATAGAAATCGACCAATTCAAGATGAAGTTGACGAGATAGCAGTGAATCGGACGTGTTTGAGAATGGCTTGATTTATTTTAAGATTAAGGGCATACGGACAATAGGTCGTTAAATTTGATCGATTGTTCAATTCACCGCTGCGAAAATTGTTCTAATTAACCCGCATATTAACAGTTACATTTTCAAGCCGGTCACGCCGTTCTCTCAATCGATTTTCAATAAATATTAACTGTTTGCGCCTATATTTCTATGGGTGACTACTCGGTGGATTTTATTGACGATTAATTTTTACGAATAACTTATAACGAAACAATGCGTAATCAAGCGTACGAGGAAAGTCGATCTTCAAACTTTTCGCTCGTTATTGTTTTGCGTTGCACAAGCATTATTACAGTGTGTTTTACAAGTTAGCAAGGACATTTTTATTGATTGTTTACGGCGAAACCAGTTAGTTCGACCGAAGCAGATGTGATTACTTTCAATAATGAATCCATTTCAGACAATCATTACGACATTAACGCGTAGACATGAAATAGTTCTAATAAAACATTAATTACCTAATAAATACAAATTGTCCTACAAAAATCTGTCATCAAAATCCATTCATCTAACAAAATTCCATTGGAAAACGAAACATTCGAGTATGGCCCTTTTTCGAACCGAAGATAAAAAAAGAAAAACCTGCTCTTGGAAGAAAGAAACCCAGATTCCGATCGTAAGAAACAAGGTCAGGGTTGAGAAGTGGGCAGTGCAGCCCGGGATAATTTACCGTTACGCCAACAGAAGTTAAACGTGTACATGTAGGCAGCGGCGGGACTGTCACTCACATGCCGCGTCTTTATCTAAGAAGTTCATGCTAAGTCACGTGGTTGTCTGAGAGAGGGGGGAAAAAACCGTGACTCTGGGTCAACGCTCGATTATTACCCACATCGATCTTATGCGGATTTTAAAGACTGACAAAGATGTTGAATTGGAACACGGAGATTATATGCTTTTTTTGCATCTCGCGTTCTTTTTCAATCGTTTATTCGGTCGCATTTGTTTGACAAGTGAATGTATTTTATCGTAAGTGCACTACGAACGCCTAAGAATTTAGTTTTAGTGTTACTGTAAGTATCATTGATAATTAGCATAAAGGAAAATTTTTAATATTAACGAATTAGTTGACATACGCACTTATGTTTATCTACGTTAATTGACATTTATCATACAATAATTAGTTGTTTTACGAAGACAATGACAAAAAAGAACGATCATTTAAAATTTCATTATGGACATAATACGAAAATATCAATCGCGTGTAATGTTAAAAACTGATCGTAATTTCTCAAATCTTACTTATAGGTACAATTATTGTTTATTACTCGAGCGAACTATAAGATAAAGATGAAGAAGTCAATTTTATGCAAGCTTTACATATAATCAATTGCCTCAATTTCAACTAAAAGGTAGTTTACGTTTTCAGGCTATTTTCAGCGATAATTTCTTGAAGAGCTTCATTCGAAATAAATAATCCCAATTTAATCAGTAGTAGAATTTTTTTTCTAGTTATAAATTTGTAATTGTCGTAACAATAGCTTATTCAACATTAAACTGTTTTCGATAGTTGAGTAATTCAACTCAACTTGAGAAATTCCCCAATCGTGACAAGCTGTTCTACAAATATTTTGTAAGAATCAGAATTTAATGGGCTGCTCGTAGTTTATCAGAAGGATGCACGTACGCGTAACTGCTATATTTAAAGATTCTATTCACTAGTTCGAAGTAATGGATCAGTTCATTGTACTTACACGACACGCGCGCCAGCGACCTTACAAAATCGACCTTCGCTTTCTTCAATTGGCCCTGTGCGAGCGCTCTGACAAGCGCAAGCGCGCCAAAAACGATAGAAGTGGTGGGAAATCCGATTTCAAAGGGGCAAATCGATTTCGTTAGAGGAAAGCGTCGTTTTTCGCGTCGCTAGAGACAGAGAAAAGCCGATAATCGCAAGAGCGCAGGCGATGACATAATTCGGATGGCTCAGCGGCGACGCTTCTTCATCGTTATTTTCCTTTCGCAGTTCGGCAGTCCGTGACGCAACGCGTACGAAACCGAAAAGTCTCATTGTCTCTTTCACTCTTTGACACACTTCGAACTACGAATTCGTTACTTATTTCTTCCTTTTTGGGGTCGCCAGCGTAGGCAGATTTTTACAAATGTTTGTTTTACTTATCGATTTTTGTACGCTTACTCGTTGTATGAGTTACTCGAAAAGAGCTACGAAATTGAGCTGCTAATGAAGCTTTACATTACGTTTGTAAATATAGTGCTATCACAAATGAAAATTACGTAGTAACGATCATTACGGCGAATATAGCATAAACTCGTCAAATGTTCGACCAGTCATCGATGTAGAACATCCAATCCACGCAACGAAAACTACTAAAAAAAACACGACGAATGCCGTGTACGTCGAAATTTTGGAGTACACCTAGTGAGTATCTAATCGACTGCAATACTTACATAACCAATGACAACCTTCGATTACGGCACGATTATGCCATCTAAGTGATGACAGCTCGTTTTTTTCCGAAACGCGCGAGTACAGAGAGAAAGATGAAAAAGGCATCGCGGAGGCTTTACCGAGTGCAACAGCCGGTTGATGTAACGAATGATCATTGTCATGGGAGCTGTTCTTTCGCCAGGTCTATCGGCAATTTCACTTTTTGAAAATAATAGAGAGATTCCTGGCGTACAACTAATTTTTATGGTTGCTGCCGCGTTATGTCAATATGCTGCATTGGATCGCCCGATCATATTTTATATTTTCCCAGCGCAACTTCCTTATCCAACAGTACGAATTGCAGTTGTTTTGAACATTTCGAAATTCTACAGCGAAGAACTTCAGTCTTCGCGTTGTTATAAAACTTATTAAATCTTTTTACTCTTTGCACAATACACAGTCCAATACGAGTTTGAAAGTTTGTTAAACGAACTTTAAATTTGTCGTTTCCTTTTCTTGTTTATTAAATTATATTAAATTATTGATAAAAAAGTATAGCCAGTCGATAAAAACGCTATATTCCGACACATTTAAAGTTGATCTTGGACAAACATTCATTAAAAAAAATTTTCAAGAATCAAATGTGTGAGACAATAATTCGCGGCTCAGGCGCACATTCGACCCTGAAAAACAACTTCTCATAATCCAGATATATATGGTAGTGAATTATCCACGTATTACCTTACACATGCGCGCGCGATTTAAAACGCCACGTGTGCATGAGTATAACACATAGCATCGCGTGCCAGGAACGTTTCCGCTTTTCGCGCTGTCGATGGCAGTTGCTCTGTACTCCAAGTGATTGCTAGTGAAAAATGAAAAATGTACTATCGCAGGCAAGCACGTATACAGTGCAAAGTTGATGGTTTATTTGGTTGTAGCTTAACGGGAACGAAATTTGTAAAACAATTTGTCTACAAAAGCATTGATGTCCAGACTATTATGGAATTCGATGATCAATTATTTATACGAGCAATAATATCCTTTAGCATTTCCTTCCATAACACGGCAATCTAATATGAATTATTACATTGGTATATTTTTATCAACTTCGTAGTGCTACTTATATTATTTTATTTATATAATTTATTTGAACACTGACTTAAGACGCCTTGAAAACTGTTGTGCTATTTTATCAAATTGTATTTTTCTACTGTTTCAATTAAAACAGTTTTTATCGAACTCTCAAGAATAATATATCATTTGATTGAATTAATAAATTTATTATACGCGTATATTCGACAGGAACTGTATAGAATTTTATGTCTGTTGAAAATCTAAGATTTAGAAAAAGCAAAGCTAGTTGTAGTATTTTCTTTTCGCAAATGATTATGCAAATTATAGCATATGAGCTGTGTCGAAATACGGGCGTGGATATACAGCTTAGACTTGGATTTAATAACTAGTATGGATAACTAACTGCTTATATTTATGTGGAAAAATAGTTTACCTGGCTATAAAGCACAATAAAAGAAATTCGTTGTTTGCGCGTAAACATCAGTGTTATATATCTAATTTAACATTGTAGAGTTCACGAGAGGCACTTTATAAACAATAGACCATAAGATATTCTAGATGATCAATTTACGTGTGTTTTGATGTTATGGGAATATATTCTTTAATGCATAATATAACTTTGATTTATTTGATGAATAACTGCAGAATAATCTGAATTGTAACTCCACGATTGTATCGGCAAAATATTTACTCTGCATTTGTGACTAGCCGATCGATTTATCGATGCAACGACATTTGCAAACGACTGATTCTCAAATCAAATCAAATTATTAAACGCACATTCACGAATGCCAATAACGACGCTCTTGTGAACCTTATTATGCGGTAATTGATCGATATATGGATCTCCGTACCTGTAGGGTGAATCTGAGGGTTCGACATATCGACGGACGTTATGTCGCGACGTCGTCGTCCACTCTTTCCAACGACTCGAGCACAACTGCTGCGACTATAGCGCGGCATAGTAATCGCCGGTCAACGGCAACGCAACCTGCCTCGGAACTAACATTTATTATTTAAAAAAATGAACTACACGCGTGAATAATTTTCGCGACTTAATTTAATTTCGAACTTAATTTCGAAGTGTTATTTTGAACTAATATTGAACTTTTAATAACTACGTGGAATAGTTTTTCGAAAAAATACCAAGCGAGACTTTAAATGTCTCTCCTACTCAAATTTTAGTTTATTTGTCAGAAATTGACAGATAAGCGTAAAAAGTGATAAGCGATCGATGAACTCATTTTAGGTTTTATTTGTAAATCCCTCTTTTCGCGAAAGATGAGCACCAAAGCTACGATTTAAAATGCCGAAAGATGAATTTCTATCTCCACTGACATATTTTACATTTAAGATTTCTACTCGATTTTTTTATTCAACGTTCCGACAATACTTTTGAAAAATGGATAATATTTTCGTTCTGTAATAGCTTGTGGAACAAGTAGTATAATTAGAAACTCCGTTATATCTGCTTATTTTTTGTTATGTATTAATATCAAAGGCCACAGAAAGTTATTGCATTATCCAAAAACGTATGTACAAATAAATTGTTACAAAGTTCACAGGTAATCACTGCTGCGTTGCAGCCTAACTATAATGCCTCTGCCCGCATGTAGCGACATTTACCATTTGATACATCCATAGTAATAAATTCATACTTTATCCGTAGATATTCCATTCAAATGAAAGATTCGAAGCATTCGAGAAAATGAAAAATGACTTGTCTATGTAATTATACAAAAATGCCTCTGCTGCAAAACGAAGGTCAGTAGCGCGTGCAATGTCTTCGGAGAAAAAAAAGAAAAGAAAAATGCGATTTCGCATTCGCGCAACGATTATAATTACACGTCGGAGATAGATTTTCCATAATTTTCCTCCCCTTTTCGAGAGACCTTGTTCTGGATATTCTTTCGCGTATCTCCTTTCTTGTACATATCCATAGGCGCGTGCATATTACACACACATACGCGCGCGCACAGACACACAACTCGGGTGCACGAAATTTCACCGGACCCCATTTCACTTTCTAGATTCGCCTATTTTTATAGGCCAGTGACAATGCCGCCAGACAGCGCGATGCCTTTGTGTTCTTCGTGTCTGTGCCTGAGCCACGAATCGAAAGTAGTAGCCATTGGCTATCGTTACGCTGATTTTGTTTATACGCTCTGCGTCTTTTGTATGCTAATCCGAAGATGTTTCTTACGACGTATCATAATTCTTCGCTCAACTCCTTCCAGACAGAAACTTTCTCTACACATACGCTATTTATAATCGACAGAATTATATAAATGAATTTAAATTAGCAGTGTATTTTAAGATGAAACGAAGGTGCCGATAGCGAGTTTGGTCAACAACGTAAATTTTGCTACCTGACATTTAATACCGGATAATTTGATGCGCTGCAAGACAAGGGTATTGCCGTCGGCACTTATCGCCGAACAAAAATATTAGCTTCGCTATCTGCTAAGTGAGTCGACGAAGAAAAACGTAAACTAAGAAAACTTTGCAGGCACGTGTAAACCATCGTGGAGCAGCAACTCAGTCCCCGAATGAAAAATGCCACTCGTATATAAAATAGGAACCACAAAAGAAAAGCCAAAACGACGAGGAATATAACGAAAAGCTCAAGAAAATTTTATAACGGTCGGAATGTCGACAACGCTCGGACGCACACTGTTTACGTTCCGCGGTGTATCCACATCTTTCAATATCACGTACCCAAACACAAGACTCTACACCCACAAACGCACGCACACATCTCTATTTCTTCTTCTCTCTGTCGGTTTGCTCGGGTTTTCGCACCTGCATGTGCCACAGTTGCTCGCCAGCAGTAGCAGCCTCGAATGTCTTTCCAGATTTTGCGAAACGTCGCGTCGCATACGAGAGAGTTGCTCGATCCCTGCCAATGATAACGTCGCCGAGAAAGCGCTACTACGAGTGAAAAGAATTGCTGCAATCTCCGAAAAATTCCATTATCGCGCGTACGTGTCCGCGATTGTGGTGCGTGTCGGAGTGGACCTGTTTTTGTCACGTTTTTTGAAGACTCGACACAATGGTTATCCAACTGGACTGGAATGGTGGATACTATGCAATCAGCGAGACGAAAGTCGGTGAGCAGCAGTTTTTCTTCTTCTCTTCTTTCTTTGGAATGTTTCGCGGTTGAATATTGCGAGGAACGGCATTTTGCATTGATCTCCTCGTGCGCGCACGCAAAGTAGCGTGTTGTGGTGTGACGTTTGATAATGAAAGTCAAGACCTACTTCCTCGGTGAGTCTCCGCGTGTGTCTATAGTCGGAATAGAAAAGTCCGCCAAGTCCATTTCGCATTCAATCCCTTATATCCGTCGCACTGTCTTTCGCGGGGCAGACGAAAAAATTTCACTCCAGTTGCAGCGAAGCATTTTCGCCAGAGAAAGCGATCAAGCTCGACTAGTATTGCACGAGCTCGGTGTGTTTAATATCTGTCTTGCAATTTAAAAGCTGGCGCACCGCGGGATCGAAACCTATGTCGGAGCGCGCCCCCAAGTATGGAAACCCGGAAATCACCTGCTAGTCTTTCGCACCAAGTAAGCTTACGGCGTAGCAACACGCTTACGCATTCGACAGCTGCACTATAAATTTATATAAATCTCACCTACAACGAATTAGGCCGGATCTGTGGCCTACAAAATAGGGGAAAGGAAGCCTCGTCTTTTTTGTACCGTTCAGCTACAGCAGGTTCATCGACCACGCAGTCCGCTTGTATTCTTATAATGAATTCTCGCGAGTACTTGTCACCACAAAGACGATCTCATAGTCGCACGATTGCACTTCGCGTTTTATATGATATATAGTTGTCGAACACGGCAACAAGCGACTGCGACTGACAGCCAAGTGTTATAAGCCTCGCGGAGCGCGCGCGAGGGGCCATCCGTTGCTTGTTCGCCGGCCCGATGGTGGGGGCGACTTCTTCTGGTGCACGCGAACGTATAGAATACGACCCATCAGGCACTGCTGCCGGGGACCTCCTTTCACGATGAGTACGTACGAGAGCCTACCTAGCGGTATTATACATCCTTAGGGAGTGTTGCTCCGACCAGCTTTTTCACTCTTCATAGGCTCCACGCGACGACCATACCATTGACTATGAGTTTCACTCTTTAATCCAGGTGAACTTTCATGACCAAACTGTTTAATTGATTGTTCGGTCGCGGGCTCTTGTGGTCGCGGATAGTTGTCACTTTTATTTACTAGCTTTTTTCCTATGCACGCAAAATTACCTAGCGTTTATCCCAAATCTATAAAACTAGCTATTTTTTTTTCTAAAAGTCGTTCAGTATTATATCATGAATTGAGAATATCATTCGCAAGTGTAGTTTTTTGTAGGTCACGTAAAGAAGAACTCTTTTATTGACGATTTCATCGTCAATATTATGTTAAACTTGCGATACGAAAATGTATCGATTATTACGAATGTTGATTTAATTATTTGTTTTTTTTTATATTCTATAATATTTTCCAAGGTAAGAGAGTTGCAATAAATGATGTTGAAAGCGTGTTGTGCTCTTTGTATCAAATCTTCACACGCAATACTGTTCGTTGTCATTTAGCACCGCAATAGATTGTATTGAAATCGTTCGTGAATTTTAATCACAACGCAATGCACTTTACTTTATTAGGGTGGTGTTTGCACATGAGTTACATTAGCATATGAGTGAATTTCTCGGAAGTTTCTAATCGTCACAGCTATGAAACGTCCTTACTGCGTTTAAAAGGATTAATGTATGCTGTGACTACTTTTATTTTGTTTTCGTATTGAGATGAATATACACGAATTTTCCTTTTTTCGTTTAAAGAATTAGCTACATGTACGTATAATTAAAATAATAAGTAAAAGTTTTATATTAGTCCTACTTAATCAAGCTAAATTATTTTAAAAATAAGTATTCCCATGTTAGAAGTGGTTTTGGTAACTGCGGAATTAAATAATTATATATTTTATGAAATCATCAGTATTAACAAACTTTTTAATTGTTATATTGCTAAAACATAGCCAAACTTTGAATAAAAGTTATTAAAACAGCTAGTTTTTATTTAGTTTAAATATAAACAAGAAAAACACTCAATCACTGTAAAAAATTATACAGACACACACGTATTAGAGAATTTTCAAAGTTGGCACCAGAAGATGTCGCTCATTTATAACGATCAAAAATCATACCAATTATTGTGAACGGTATTAATATATTTGCTGTTGGTAAAAGCGAATTCTTCACCAGTGAACAGTTCATACAACGGTAAATGACTAGTTGATAAATACTTGAAGTTTTGACCCACAGAAAATAAGTAATACAGAGATCATTAAGATATATAAAAATTACAAATTATTCATAAATTAAAGTAGCTATTAATACTAAAAATTAATCATATTAATACCAAAAAAACTTTTTAAATCTTTTACCGTAATATAAAGCTATGAATAGTAAAACTATGAGGATGATTGATAACTTTTTACTACTAGTTATCTGTTAATTTTTCAGTCGCGATTCCTTAAATAATATGCAGCAAAGTTGAGCAATCTGTTCAATTCTAAAAACGTTTTAATTATTTATCACACTGCATAAAATTAGCCATGAAAAACCAATTAGCTTTTTGCATAGATTCCGACTTACATACACACACACATAGAGCAACGATAGTGTTATTTCCTGTTCCTGTCATTTGCATAATTCTATCGGTGCTTGATTTGTAGTTGATCTAGTTTCTCACTCGCATAATTCACGTCTTTATATTCCTTATAAGAGTGTGAATTATCGGGTTCATTTTAGTATTTTTCCATAAAAGTAAATGAGTACAAGAGCTTATACTATTTTTAGCATTATTTTATAGGATACTTGAAAAAAACATAAATAAGGGCGGCCGCCAATTTTTACCTTTACATATCGAATTCTGTATATTTGTTTACTAAAATTGACCTACTTATCTGAGAATCACATATGATATAATTAATGCATGAGTCGAGTGAAATTCACTTGTTATCAGCATGTCATCGAAAAAGTCATCTCCAGAGAAACTGAAAACTGGTTTACCCTCGTGGCATTGCAAGTGACACACTTATACATACACATGATTGGAAATATGTCGATGTCATGATGTTTTTAATGCTACGTTGTCCAGCAACTAATAGAGACACAATAGTTTGTTAAATATTCTAATCGATATATTGAATTGCTCATTTCCTTTTATATGAATCGAAAATTTATACAATACCGAAAAGGAAGAAGAACGTCTAAAGGAATGTCATATGCGCCTTTGAATTAGTGATCTATTGTTAACTTAGAATTTACTCTAAAATAAATATGTTATAAAAAAAAACAAAGTTCAAATCATTTGCAAAAATATATAACTTTACTTTTTGAGATCTAATTTGTTGGTTCTAATTCAATTTGCACTTCTATAAATTTTTAATACTGATATAAAGATATCAGTGGGGTATGTCAATGTTACAAAGTCGAGTTAAATGAGTCGTCGTGTATAATTTTTTATTTTTTATAATTTAATTTTATAATAATATTTATAATACTATTTTTAAATTTTTTATATTAAAATTTATAAATATTAAAACAAAATTATAGCAAAATAATACTATTTACATTACAGCTGTTATAAAAATAAAACATTTTGAAAAAACAAAAGATGAAATCATGTTCTGAAGCAACTTCTCCAATATGACGCAAAAAAGTCTTAAGAAAGTAATTTGTATGTTGAGAAAGAAAATAGTTCTGCATAATTTCTAATCCATCTTATCTCGAATAATTTTTGTCGTTGCAGCACTCACGATTTTATCAATGATGAAGTTCATGTAAATGTTCAGTGTTTTGATTAGCAGTATGCTGATTGCATTTGCATACTTTCCATATAAAAACTTTATTGCTATTGGAGTCTATTTTCTGCTGAGCTTCATCAATGTCAAATACCTCATATAATAATTGTAAATAAAATATTAGTTTGCTAAGTCTTATTGAAATCACAGGTTTACATAAACACGTTATTATCGTTAACAAAACAAACTTGGCGATTGTATTTCTTTTATTCTTTTACCCATACCCTTTCAAAGAATGTTAGATAGGGAAAAAGTCTTACCAAACCATTAAGTTATTTCGATGACGTATCTAAAGTTAAAATCCAGTTCTCAGAAGAGAGCTGACGCCGGTCCGCAGCATTTTTATGCACATTTTTTACGAGAGACAAAAAAACCAACGGTAAAAAATGGCACAGCTGAGAAAGACGCACCGTACTGCGTCACTAGTTCATTTTGGCATTCGTTTTTTTGCTGTTGGTTCGGTTTATTGCTTGATTATTTGTTATTTACACGATTAACTATCATAAAAATCTAATATCTTGATACAATGATAAAATTAGTACAACTATTGATAGATTGACAACTATATAACTTGAATTCTAGACAAAAGTATTACATAATTTTATAATTTGAATATTGATCTTCTCATAATGCTATACCATTGACGGTATGTAGGTTTACAAGAAACAATACGATGGTAATCATTCGAACATACATTCGGACATTTGAAATTACTACAATAGCTTTTTAATAGTCAAATGGTACATGAATGAATATATTTGAACCCTTTTGGTAGTATCAAGGAGATTATTCTGATAATTTACGAAAAATTAAATTGCAGACTTGTAATCAAGGAAAATTTGCTCAGATATGGATGTCATACAAAATGGAATCAATCGATAAAATCATGATTTGTACTGTTGAAAATCTTGGAGAAAGTGTCTGTAACGTAAGTTTATATTTGTCCTCAATTTAGTAAAAATTTATTTTCCCTCTGTAATCGATATTCATTTAATCCTTTATAGGGTGACTTTGGCAGTTCTTCAGTTAACTATGATACACTAGTCGGAGTTTCTTTTAATTATCCATGTGCTACTTGATACTTACTATTAGCTACGAAATGTATATCCGTACGTATTGGCGATAGTTGTAGTGATATCCTTCATATTTAATCCTTTGACTTCTTCTGTCGCAAAAATAAGGTAGAGAAATATCGGCATCACTCAAACCATATCTTGATTTTTCATTGCCACTATATTTACGTAGAACATTTTCAGCACTATATTCAATTTTATTAGAACTACAGAGTAGAGCGTAAAAAAATATTGTCGTTTATTTATTGTCAATCGTATGACAATTTCATCAAAAATTATATTAAAGTACTAATAAGAAGTTCTAAAAACGCAGTTATAATTCGACCCGTATTATCCATATCCAAGCAATAAATTTTTTACGTCAGAAAATAAAAATATAGTTAAAAATGTCTAGGAAAGATCTAAATCTACGTATAAATATACTAAGATATTTTATAGGAATCTGCAGAATTTTCTCAATCAATATAGGATCAACTGCATTTATTCCTTCGAACGTTGACCTATTGCTATTTGCCGCATGCGTAAAAAAAATTAATTTAACTATTGGTGCTATCAGAAGTAGTTGTAATTTAAGACATTAAATATAGTAGGAACATTTTTCATGTGCTTGAATATAACTCTTGAAAGTTCTTATCTCTTCAAAATTTAATTTTACATGAGCGCTCAATGTTTTATCTAATCACTCAAAGCAATAGTATCGACAAATTGGAAGAACTTCGTTTTAGGATACTTTTATACATGTAGTACTTCATATTAATTTTATTACTGGAGAACGCAGAATTTTTAATAAAGCGATAGAAATACAAACGAAAATTATAATGACCGAATTCGGGCAAATGGGGTAGAGAAAATACAAAGTTGACGGACAAAAGAATATTTTATAAGTATTCTTGTTTGTGAAATTAGATAAAGCTGACTAGCA